AACATCCTGGTCTTTGAGCTCAAGTTCAAGTCTCAGCAGGACCTCCTGCTATTGCACCTACTGTAACATTTTAGCACAGAAAATGTTGCGCAACGCAACATTTTCAATACAGTTGCTGTTCTGAGTGTTACTTTATGGATTATTATGGACTTTATTTAGTTTGTTTACAAGTTACTGTGCTCTGTGAGAGAGTTACGTGTCTTATAGCACTTGTAACTCAAGGACAGTGAGCCAAATTCTTTTTATGTGGCTCTAGATTCTTGACTAAATACTAACTGTGCTTACATTTATGTTTTCAAGCAAATCAAATCTGTTTTTACTGCCAAATTACATCAATCAGTCCCTCTAGTTTCTTGAGAATTAGAGTGAAACTTCATGCAAAATGAACAAATCCCTGCATTGTTTTGCACTGGTACATAATTGGGAGATTTTTCTCAAAAATGGTTGAAAACTTTCTCACTTTTACTAAACAGCTGCTTCAACTTTAATCAGTCAGATTATAGTCCAGGATCATTTACAGTCTTAACTAAGAACGAATATTGCAAATATTTCCCTATTTGTACCACAAACACAAAATTCTGGGGAATCTGAAAAGATGTTTAATAGTATCATTTAATTTTAAGAATTCATTGATATTTTAACTGTTTGTTAACAGGTTTTATCAATGCATTCTGGCACAACCGGCCCTTTAAGAGCATTCATGATCTTGATTTGGCCCAAAATGAAAATTTGTTTGTCCCTCCTGCCTTATCACGTGCTCTGCAGTAGAAATATTTGACATTGTCTACAGCCCATGACTAAAATTAACCTTTCACAAATCTTGTACCCTCTCCCAGGATCTCAACATGCAAAAGGTCTGTGGTTTGAAACTCGACAAAAGTTTCTTTCAATGTTACGTTTATCACAGGGTGTTGGTCAAATAGAGGGTTTCACATGCCAAATCACTTGTATGGCACAGTGGTAAGCACTCCATGCTTTGAATCCGGTGAATTGAGTTCAAGTCTGTGTAGGCGTCACATCTAATCTTTGGCACAAACAATATTTTCAATGCAGTAGCTGTTCTCAGGCTTAATTTCTAGACTCTAATTTTAAACCAGACAGAAATAGAGTTTTGTTCATATGTAAGTTGTTGTGCTCTCTGACAGACTCTAGTATTTTTTTTCACCGTCTACAGCCCATAACTAAAATTAACCTTTGACAAATTTTGTGTCTTCTACCAACAACAAACGGTTTCTGTAGCAAACATGGGCATCATGTTTGCTTAACATGCAAAAGGTCTGTGGTTTATAACCAAACCAAAAAAGTCAAACAGCTGAATCACAGCAGGAGGAATTGCTTTTAAGACTTAAATTGAATGTTTAGTATATTTTAATGTGAATTTTCTTAACAAAATCAGCATATAATTAAAAGCTGCTATTGGAAATATGACAGTGTTCACTGAGCAAGCCGTGTCTGTCTCAAAAAGATACGTTTTCAGATGTAAAATATCAAAATCATTTTTGTTCCACTCTACATGTGTACATGAGCGAATACATACAATTTTACTCTGTATTCAACAAGTCATAAGAAAACACATTTGATATCTCCAGCAATGACTTTGGAAAGCAAAAATAGCTTTACAGCTTTACATTTTCTGTCCATCTAGTTGATGTGGGGAGCATTATTGTGATTGGTCACACCAACGTAAATTGTGGTCGATTTGTAGTTCGCTGTGAAATTGTGTAAAGATTTATCAGAATTTCTCAGAAATTAGGAGATTTTCCATTAGGTTCAATGGAGCTCGAGATGACCACAGAAAGGTGAATATTTCATAAACCAAAAGACATAACCGTAATGTCCTGAATGAGCAGCGTAGGGTAAATGTTGAAAACAGAACAAAGTATGCAGAAGTAGCGAAGTGGCGAAGAGTGTAAAGAAAAGTGGAGGAACTCAAGAGTGTGCATGCCTGCAGCATCCACGCTAATAAATAAAAATAACATCCAAACTGATTACTTCCACATTTGCATGGGATTTTTTTTTCTACAGAAATGAAGCAAGCATGACTTTCAGAAGTCACCAAGTTTTCATCTGTTTAGACAGCAATTGCAGAACTGCTTTCAGTTCAGCTTGCGATATTTTTCCCATGCTGACACAGTGGACGTCTCAACAAATCATGGGAACAGTGTACACTAATCCATTAGTGGTGTCAGTTTAATGGGCGTGTTACTGTTTCAAGAAGCAATAAGATTCAGAACATAACTTACCTCACACTTAGTTAACCTTTACAGCACTCCACAAAAGCAACCTGGCAAAATACAAACATCCATACGTAGCACACTCCATACATCTGTAAACATGTGTAAAACGTCTTACTTTAAAATATATCCTTTATTGCAGTTGCATAATATATTGCATTTGCAATATTATTATGCATAATATTACAAAATATTATGCATAATATATTGCATAATGGCTGTTGCTCACTAGTTTTTATGGGATAAAAACTGGTCTTTAATGCTGATTTTTCTAAAATTGTGGTCAAGAGTTGCATCTTGGAGAGACCGGTTCTCCAAAGCAGTAATCTATTTTACATATACAAATGAAAGAAGGCTTTGCAGAAAATACAGGTCATTAACCTTGATAATGCTTGACTACTTTTGATTTTTTTAAAGGTTTTAGTTACTTAAGTATGGTATTTTTTATTTAGTGGTAATTGTAGTAGCTGTTTATGAACTGTTATTCAGGCTGAACTAAATCTAGACAATACTCAAACACATGGCCTTTAGCTGATTTGTTTAAAATCCAGGTCCTCATTACATGTACATCCTATGAACATTTACAAGACTCTTAATTTGTGTGATCAGAAACCTAACATAGTCAGTAAATAAAATAGATTTATTTTTCAACAATTTGAAGAGTTAGGTTTGACACTTCATTAAAATCTCATGTATGAAAACAAGAGCTAAAGAGTGTTATTAGATAAGAATATTTCTGTACGGTTTCTTTTGCAGCAAATTGAACTAAATTGGTTTGTTGCATATCCCAATTTGCACCATCGACCAGTGGACATCAAACATGGTAAACTGGGTACCGTGTGGAAGTGACCTTGTCTTTAGAGTAAAGATGGGCTACGGAAGAGAAATTACACTCTGACTCAAGATGTTAAATTGTCCAGAAAGAATAATAAAAATGAAACTGAACTTGTTGAAAAGTTATGTGACCATGCTATCAGATGAAACGGAAAACCATGTTGTCAGTGTCGGCAAACTAGTGGACCCATTTCAGTAACGTGTGGCGCCCCTCAGACCTATAAAACACGCAGTGTCTTGAAGCAGAAATAAGTCATACAGTAGTAGAAGCTGGCAGCTTTTATAATTGGCCCTGGAGATCAAACAGAGCAGAGTTACGGTCAAAGAGGAATTCACCCACGCTCAGTTGGGGAGAAAAAATGTGGGTTGAGTTCCCTATGAGGTCTACAGCATCCAGTCTGCAGACTCCTGTCTTATGTGGTGCTGTTTTGTTGACAGACTTTTCTAGGGTGATGTCTTAGGGAGGGTTATGGCCTTCATCACCATAATGCCAGGTCTTTCTTACAGATGCTGAATCAGATGAATCCTACGTACGAGATATATAACTGAGACATTGTGAAGTGTTTAGTATCGCATGGCTGGTGCAGATGTAATGGGGTGTATTACTTCTTGGTATAAAAAATTATAATCCCCCCTTTGTGTGGTCATTCTAATGTAAACACAAACTTCTAAAAGGCTTCTTGGAAATGTGTGTGGTTGTCCTCCCTTACCAATTGGTCAAACAGTTGTGCAACATGAAATCCTGTCATGACAGCATTCAGATGCCTTCTCATAATTTCAGATATTTTTGAAAAGGAAAGGGGATTAACATTCATAGCTGGTTTCTTGGTTCAAGAATATGATAAGATTTGTGTAACCAGCTGAACGGGCATTGAATGGTTTCCTGTGAAGTACGCCAGAGCTTCAGCCAAGGATTGTTCCTTCAATAGCACCAATACTTGGAAATATTACAAAACTGAACACCAATGGCTGTACCCTTTTTGAGCTTTCTTCTGTTCTTCTTAATGGAAGCTCATGTGTGTGGATATGATCGGCTTGATTGATTGATTACGAAAGCCAGAGGAAACTTAGGTAGCGTCCCATGTTTATCTAAACTAGACAAACCAGTTCTGCAAAAAAGTCACTTGTCAAGTTTTGAGAATGCTATCGAATTACTTTATTACTTTTCTACTGCCCTCAGTCACTGTTTTCACTTAGTCTTGTATAACTGCCTGACATCATCCCTGCTTTGCTTGTAATGCCATCAACTGCGCCTTCTAGTGCCCTATGAGTGTAAGTTTCCTAAATTCTTTTTATTATTTACATGCCCATCACTGCTTTACATTTACACCAGTTTGATGGAAATCAGTGCGTTCTGGCCTTAAGGGTGTGAGTGAAGTTTCTACTGAAGATGCTTTTAAAGTTTATCTCAATTTGATTTGAGATAAGCTTGGTTTTTCTGTATCACAACACAGACAAAACAAATTACTTGACAGTTTAAAGATATTTTTATAGCAATAATAACTCAACCAAAGCATTGTCCTATTGCTGGCCACCTTTATCCACTCGTTGAAGTAGAGATTAAATGCTTTGTGGGCTGCAACAATGTGGATGTAAAGACTGATAAAAGAATAACGAGCGTCTGTTTTCTTATCTTTTGCTTTTGTGACTCAGTTCTACTTTTGACCTTTCATCTTTTACTCCATATTGCGTCAAAAAACATCCTCCATGCCCTCTCTCCAACACAGCACAATGAGGACAAGAGGACAGACAGCGGTCGCCCACTCAGATTCTTGTGCAGAAATTAAAACGTTTCATCTGGGCTCTGAGGCCGTTTGTTTTGTCCTCGTAAATGGGGCCATTGTATGCAAAATCCTTGAATAGAGGCATATGACCTTCTCAGTGCAGGGCAGTGGCTAGTGTGAGCGAAATCATTAGCAATGCAAAGTCATGGTGCTCTGATACTCGTTTTCACGGTCACAGATTGAAAAAAGAAATCTGCTTACACAAATGTTTCTGGATGAACGTGATTCAAAACCGCAGCTGACGGTAAGCTATTCTACTTTTTTATGTGTTTCACAGATGGCTGTCAAATTCCTAGAGAGCTACTCAGTGTTTTCGCTTGGTTTATCGTATTCTGTTATGCCACATAAAATAGATTGATATTGAAATTGAATAGCACTGAATAAAAACTAGTCTGTTTTGAAATATGTTTTAATGTGTTATATGCAAAAACATCAACCAAGACTTGAATGACAAATGAGGTATTTTTAGAAAAACATTTTGGTTTTTCAGCTTTCAACAAACTTTATAAGTGATCTTAAAGCTTCAGTTGTTGTAAGGTACCCTGTTACACTGGGCACAGGTGCCCACCCTGCATCATGACGTCTCGTTAACATGTGTCACATGACACATGATGCCGGGCGTCTGTGTTGCTCTTAAGTGAGCGGCCAACTTCACAGGGGGGACAGAGAGGTTTCCTCCCTCCTCTGGATCCACATCCATGCCAAACCAGCGGGTCAACTTTTGTTCTCCACACTGCCTCCTATGCCTCTGACACCTCCAGCGGAGCCTGGTAACAACTCTGACATTCATACCTGGGCTGGGGTTTGATGCATTTCATGATGGTTGATAGATGAGCAGACTATATGAATTTAAATCCTGAAATTCTTTTAAAGAAAACTTCGTGATTGGTTGAAGTTAATTTTGCATTGAGCAAACTTTCTGTACTATACTGATCAACACTTAAGTTGTAACTTTCAACTGAAGGTGCATGTTTGTTTATGAGTCTGTTTTTTTATGGCACATTCCTATTCCATTAATCCATTTGACATCTTAGCACTGTTATCCTTGATGGGTCAAAATGGGGACCGCCGCCTATTTCTAGCGACTAGCGATCATCAGGTGAGAGACAGGGCTGCCAGTAAACCGCAGAATGTTCATTCAAATAAATTCATGATGTCAAAACACTTTTGAAACTTGGATTTTCAGTTTTTTTTCAGTTGTAATCAAGTAAAAAAGCTTAAAAAAAAAAAAAAAAGAACCAAGAACAACTTAAATTAGAAATGCTGGGTTGGAGAATGGTTTGAAACATTTTATGCAAACTTACTTATTCAGTCTTCTTTACAGCACTTGTCAAATGTCTGATTTAAAACACAACCCTATTGTCTTCTAGAAAATCCCTAATATTTTTTCTTCCTTTATTTAAAAATGGTCCTAAATAGAACAGGAATTACAGAAGATCAAAATTGTGATGTAAAACAAGGAAATATGTTCTGCTTTTTCACTGAAATTCAGAATTTAATCCATCTTTGTTTAGGTGATAAAAAAGAAGTGTCGACAGATTCAATAATAAGGACGCCATCTAACAGCAAACGCTACAAATAAAAATCTAATTCAGCAAGCGTTCATAGGATCTCAATTGTATTTCTCTCACCTTTTTAGGATTATTTTCATATTTACTTGTGGAAAAATCTATAATTGTTTATAAATCTATAAAAAAAATAGCATCTTCTAAAATGTTCAGCTTGAAAATGTCATTAAAAGAGAAAAAAATCAACAATAAATTTTTTTTGAACTATTTTTATATAAATTAGCTGATTATAATAACATTGCACACAACAAGAAACTTTTCACTATCGATACTGAATTACACAACCCTGAGGTCAGCATATATAACGGGTTCTCAAGGGCTGATATCCCGCCAGATTCAGATGTGTCTCTACTCCAACAAAGCTCATTCAAATGATCCAACAGCCTCCTTGACATGTCAGTATGTTCTGCAGAGGCCTGCTGATTAACTATCATTTGATGAAGATGTGTCGAACCAGGGATTGAACTAAAACGTGCAGTACTGGTGCATAAAGACTGACTTTGGACACCACTCAGGCACTGTTAACCAATAAAACAAAAGGTTAAATTGAGTTTAACCAACAAAAATACAGACAATGCAAACAATTTCTGTACATTTATGAGGCTAATTTTAAGCAATAATTAATTGTAAAAAATTCTCTTGTGAAATTTATTAAATTCCGACAATTGTTTTAAATGCACTTGTTTTTCTAAGTTAGTTAAATGTTCATCGGCACAACCTTTGGCATCATCCTACCGTATTAAAAAGGAAAAGAATAATTGTTTGCCACTGAGATTTAGAATTACAAAAAAAACAAACTTTTTCAATATTTCTAAAAGTTGGACATGCAAACATTTTTACCTTAAAATCATCAGCAGCTACCTCAGTGTTAAAGGTATTAGCAATAGCATAGTCACAAACCTAGTCAAAGCTTGTTCCATCCACACCTCATGTAATACACGTCCTATTACAGTTTTAACTTTTACTAGAAAGGTATAACTATTTATAGCAAAAGTCATTTGAACTCCTCAGTCTTACCTTCATCCATTTTCTTTTCTGTAAATGCTCTACAAGAACACAGAAAATCTTTTCCTCTCTTGGTGCAAAACCAAAATCACATCATTCTCTTGTTGGTGCTTGTTTTTGATGCATATTCTGGGCAGAACCATTTTGCTGTGACAAGGCAAAGAAATATGAAGGCAGTGTGGTACTGCAGAAGAAGAATGTAAAGACTTACAGGGATGTCTGCTCTTGAATTTTTGTGAAGTATGAAATGTCTTTGCTGCATTGATGTTTTGTTTTCACAGAGTAGAAGTACAAAGCTGTCTGTTGTTGGGACGTATGCATCAGCCTAAAATTTGTTTCAGTAGGAATTACGTGAAAAAAATGTCAGTTTAGCTATTATATCCACAAACATGAGTAAAATAAAATGAATAAAGAGCTACACTTCAATATTACTTTCATTTTGAAAAAAGTCCTGAACAGAAGTTAGTTTCATTACAGTGTGACATTTAGTTTCACATAATGAAAAAAAAACATGACAAAATTTATATTTCATCTGCATTTGACTCTACTACAAATATTTTTTTTCCTCTGAGATGCTTTGATGTTTGTTCCAATGTTGCCTTTTCACTTGTTGTTTTTTTCCTATTTAAAATATGTCATAAAATTTTACTGAAAACATTTATTTTCCTTTTATTCCATGATTTTATTACTTCTCCAGTGTGTCCCCTTCACAGAATAATGTTTCTTAGTAATGATATCCAACTGCGCTTATTTGAAGTCCCTGTGGTTCTGTGATGGGGTGTGATTTTATGAATGTGGCTCATCAGAAGTTGGCGGTTTCATCAACTGTTTACATTTTAATTGCTTGTTTTTGTGTCTATTTTTAAAAATGCATTTCATACATATTTTTGAGTTGTTTTTCCACAGATGTTTTTCATTTGCTGATCTTTTCCTATGTTTTTTTTTTATTTTTATTATTGCTACAGACCCGGAACCAAAAATGAACTGGGCATCTTTTTATGCTGTTGTTAGCGGCGTTAACAGACACTCTACCGGGATCGGCCGCATCTGGCTCTCTGTCTTGTTCATATTCCGCATCCTGGTCCTGGTGGTTGCGGCTGAGACCGTGTGGGGGGACGAGAAGTCCGGCTTCACTTGCAACACCCAGCAGCCAGGCTGCAACAGTGTCTGCTATGACCACTTCTTCCCCATCTCCCACATCCGCCTGTGGGCCCTCCAGCTCATCCTGGTTTCCACCCCGGCCCTGCTGGTGGCCATGCACGTGGCCCACCGCCGACACGTCGACAAAAGGCTCTACAAACTGTCGGGGCGAACCAATCCCAAAGACCTGGAGCAGATAAAGACCCAGAAGATGAAAATCACAGGGGCTCTGTGGTGGACTTATGTCATCAGCCTGTTGTTCCGTATTGTCTTTGAGGTCATTTTTATGTTTCTGTTTTACATGATTTATCCCGGTTACAAGATGATACGGCTGGTGAAGTGTGACTCGTACCCGTGCCCCAACACGGTGGACTGTTTTGTATCGAGGCCCACAGAGAAAACGGTCTTCACCGTCTTCATGCTGGCCGTGTCTGGGGTTTGTATCCTGCTCAACATTGCAGAAGTGGCGTTCCTAGTAGTGAAAGCCTGCGGTAAGCATCTGCACAGTGCTGGAGACTCAACTATCGGAGCTTGGATACAACATAAACTTCGTTCATTCTAACCAATGCGCACTTAGTTTAAAACTGGTGAGAATTAAAGAAATAGTTTAATGAGAAACATCTGGTTTCAGGCTCAAAGAGGGAAATTTAGACAATTTATTGTGCCAGCAATTCAAGAGCTCAAAGATATTCTGTCACAAATAATAATAATAATAATTAACTGTTGTATTGCGAAGATGTGCCTGCATCATGGTCGGTATTATTATTAACATTATTTAATGTTATTTATTAAATTATTTATTGGAATCTGTATTAATTTTAACAGGGAGAATATCTGACTATGACTTGAACATAACATGTTAAAAATTACACCTTTTTGAGGTGAAGAAAAATAATGACTTTAACCATTGTTTGCACTAAAATGACTTTCAATGCTGTTCACATTTCTGAATAAAGGAAGCAGAAGATAATAATGAGAAGAAATACACTTGAATAGCAAACTTTTTTCTTTGATGTTTATTGCTGATTCTAAACCTAGAATTCAAATGTAATGTTTTTTTTTCTTTTTGTTTTTGGTGTTATCACTGGCCATGCACAACAGAATAAATTCAAAGCGTGTACTTGTGTTGTTACACTGGCCGGAAGTTTTTTTTTTTTTTCTTTTACATTTTTTTTCTTCTCACAACCTCAACAAAATGTATTTTGCTGAGATTCTGTTGAATAGACCTCGTTTTGCACAACTGAGATAAAATACAATGTAATGTCAATAATTCGATTTCAAGATTTGATACATCTTGTAACAAATCGTAGCATCTGTGAACATCACTAAGTCTTTTTAACCATTGACTCTATATTTGATTGAGTTCTGGACTTTGACTGGGCCATTATAACATCTAAATGGCTTCATCTGCACGTTATGCTCACTGGATGGTGAACCTTTGCCTGACTCTCAAGTCTTTAACGAGTTGTCTAATAGGACCATTCTAAAAATGTCAAGAGTCCTAACTACATTCATAGAGCAATTACAGTGGCTATCATCTGGATTTTTTTAAGTTTAAATAAGCAGTGTCAGTGTATTTTCTCCCAAAATAAAGTTGTAATACCAAATTTAACCAGAGGGTAGCAGTCTTCCCAAAGCTAAAACTGACCTGTGCTCCTTTCAGCTGCAACCAGATCGATTCAAAGAAAAAAAACAGAGAAAACCCTGAATGAAACTATAACACATTTAGCAACTTCTTTACCGAGTTTAAACAGATCCCATGTTGCCACCTGTGAGCAAGCGTCTCAGTTCGTCCTCATAATTAGCTGAGCTCTGCGTCCTGAGGTTATCAATAGCCGCCCCATGGAAGGGGGTCAGTGTGAGTGTCACAATGAGTGACCCTGAGGACAGCTGGGTCTGGAAAGGTGGCGCTTATCTTTTTATGGAACATGCCAAAACCTCCCCATCTATTAGGTCCGTATTAATGAGAAACACTGAAGCAGGAGGGTTCTAGAAGTAGAAGCAAAAATGTCCCCTATAAAGCAGAAGACCTAAATAAACTGGTAAAAAAAAAAAAAAAAAGGAAATCAGCTTTTGCAGTAATGTCATACATTATCTGACCCTTTCAGTTGAAAGTTACTAAATCAGCTACAATTAAAGTTAATCTGACTTTTTGACAGCTAATGACGAGCTGAAGCAAAAATCTAATTACAACTCCTGCCAAGCAAGTGTTTATATTATCCTGAAACCATTTTTGCATTAAAAGTTATTCAATAGTTCAATCAAACGGAATCGCACAACTATAAATCTTAAGTTAAATTATGCAAATGTTTTCATTATTTAATCCTGAAACATGATGCTGCCACGACCATGTGTTTTTTGTGTTAATGGGGGATTCGCAATGTTTTCTTTGCATGTAGCTAAGCCAAAAACGTGGGTTTCGGTGTGTTTTTCATGTGTTTAGTGTGTTCTGTTTTAATCACAACTCTGCTACAAACCTCTCCACAACTTCATCTGTGACCTATCCAGGGGGATATATTGACCTTCATTATGATTACCAAAGTTTTGAGCCCTTAACTGAAAACATGCATTTAGTACTGAGAATAAATTCAATGCAGATGGACTCTCTCTGCTAATAAGGTGGCTTCTAAAACCTTGTGGTTCTCCCAGATTTTTGTTAAAAGAATGAGAATAAAAGAAATTGAACACAAATACAGGCCATATTTTAGAGGATATCCCATGCACGTTACATTTATGCTCTCCTGATACAATGAAATAAAGTTTGTGGGTGTAGCGTGACAAAACTGTGACAAAACAATCATAATACGAATATAACGGTAAAAGCCTTACAATGGAATCAATTAAAATATTTACTTTTTAAATTCTCAGACTGAATTTCTTGATAAGTTCTTGAGCCTGAAGCTGCTCCACACAGTCGGTGGGGGTCATGTCACTAGAAGATTAGCATTGCCGCCACTCCCCACACCGTGAATTATATTTAGAGCTCACCAACACGTCGACTTATCTGCATCCTCACTGGGCTCTTCAGCTGCCTCTCAGTTCAAAAGAAAAATCTCAGACTTTTCAACAAATTGGAAACGTTTCATCCGGTTTAGCTGTGGCTCCTCTTCTGAACAGACACTTTGGGAAAGTCGCAATAACACCAGGCAGTTCCACACACTGCTCAGTGAAAACTATCTTGGAGAAGATCATCTTTGTGCTCCGGTTTCCTCTAACGTTGTCCCACTGTGAGGTGAAGAGTCCCACTCAGCTGAAGACTGAGGGAAATGAACATTATCAGGTAGGTCTTCCTTCAAGTAGACAGATATGTCATACTTTATCAAACACCTCTATGATCTCTGAAAACACAAAATTTGCAATGACTGACAGCAGTCCAGGTCAAAACTGGATACTTGTGAATACCGATTCCACAGTTCCGCCACATAGTCTGTATTTTGAACAGATACTCAAATCTCCATGTGTTTCTGGATATGTTCACTTTTAAATGACAACGGCAACTATTTTTAAAACAGCATGCGTGGTTTGGTTGGACACGCTGTCACAAGATCCCCGGCAAGCCCAGCGGTCTCACCGAGAGCGCGTCAGGGCTCCTGCTAGCAGACATTAAGGGATACCACATCGAGAAAAACAAAGGTTAACTTCATGAGAGATCACTATCTATGATGAAGATATAGATCCTTGAAATAGGTACAAAAGATACAATACCTTTTCTGAAGTATTATACTTGAGAATATTAATTAGAAAGAATTTCCTAATTACAAAACTAATTTGATCAATATTTCAAATGTTTATATTGCTTAGAAGGAAAGCAGGAGGATTCAGAAAAACAGAAGATCATTTGACAATTCACAGAAGTTTATCAGCATAGATTGAGAAAAGAAACATTTCTAAGTGTTTTTGGTGTTGTATCTTGTTTTAGGACACAGCTTAGTTTTCTGTGGTCATTCTGAAGCCACTCTGTCCTGCCCCCACCTGTTTCCACAAAGTGTGTCAAGGTATGAACAAGTTAGAAACGCAGACATTTATGCAAGTCGAGAGGAATGTAATGCTTTGGAAGTGGAGTTTACGTTTATGTACACTTTAAAGAAAAACGGAAAATTCTGTCAACCTCAGCTGCCAATATTTTACCATAAATTGGTGATTTTTTTTTCCTTATCTTTTTTTTTTTTTTTTACAGTGTAGAGTTACTGGCGAGAACCAAGAATGCTTGAACAAAATATTCAGTCTCACTGAAAAACAAAGAAAATCCACGTCTGTTTTAAAGTACTACAGCCTCGGTAAAACAAGGCTTTTTAGTTTCATACTAGCTGAAATCACACACAGCTGCCCAAGTTACTGAAAACTAAGTTGAACTCAGAATTCCATTTCATTTATTTTTAAGTCAGAAGTTACTTGTCTTTTACTGGACAATATTATTCTTTTTACTAATTGCAAATGAATTTTCCTAATTCTTGCAGGTTTTTCCCCAGACTTTGTTGATCATTCGTGAGCCTCCATGGCGGACTGGAACTTCTTGGGGAAGCTACTGGAGAGTGCCCAGTTTCACTCAACCGTGGTGGGCAAAGTCTGGCTCACGGTGCTGTTCATCTTCCGCATCCTGGTCCTCGGAGCCGCTGCTGAGAAAGTGTGGGGAGATGAGCAATCCGGCTTTACATGCGACACCAAGCAGCCCGGTTGCCAAAATGTCTGCTACGACAAGACCTTCCCCATATCTCACACCCGCTTCTGGGTGATGCAAATCATCTTCGTCTCCACGCCCACTCTCATTTATCTGGGTCACATCCTTCACCTTGTCCGCATGGAAGAAAAGGCGAAGGAGAAACTCAAGGGCCTCGCCATAAAGAATGAAAAACAACAAGACTTAATCAGTAATAAGCCCACAAAGGCCTCCATTAAGGATGACCAAGGCCATGTGCGTCTGCATGGTGCTCTTCTGCGGACGTATGTCTTCAACATCATCTTCAAGACTCTCTTTGAAGTGGCATTCATCGTAGCTCAGTACTTCCTGTATGGATTTGAGTTGAAGCCGATGTACACCTGTGACCGCTGGCCCTGCCCTAATGTAGTGAACTGCTACATCTCTCGACCTACAGAGAAGACCGTCTTCATCCTTTTCATGCTGGCAGTAGCTTCATTGTCCCTGCTGCTAAATTTGGTGGAAATGTACCATTTAGGATTCAAAAAATGCCACCAGGGTCTTCGGTACAAAAGGTCAAAGATGGAAAGGGAAGCTCCCAAGGCCTTAAGTGAGGCAGTGATACCTTTTGTTCCAAACTACACCTACTTTACAGGTCACTCTCCAGTGCCTGAGCCCTTTCCTGCAAACTCAAAGTACAGCATAGCAGAGCCAAACTCTGCCTACAGCCCCTATAACAGCAAAGTAGTCTACAAGCAGAACAGAGACAACATGGCTGTAGAGAAAAAAGGCCGATCAGACGGAGATGATGCAGAGAAGACAAAAACACCCGGTCCTGTTACTGATACTCCTGTGGAAAACCAGCGAAGAAACAGTCAGTCCAGCAAGCACAGCAACAACAAGGGTAGGTTGGATGACCTGAAGATCTGAGAACTTCACGTTTTCACCCAAGACTCAGGGACTACAGAAAAAATCCATCACAGGATGTGATGCATCTTAGACATCTGTTAGCTCCAGAGAGGTTAGATTTAACCACTCAGTACAGCAGAATCCAGGAACAGAAGTACTGGGATGAATTTTGAAGGTTTGAGAGTTTACATGCAATATCACCAATATTAGACAAAGTGGACAGAAAGAAAAGTTAATTTTGTAATTGACTGCATTTACTACTTTGATCAATGAAATATTGGTAATGACATTAACAATTGTGTGTTGTAATTGTAAACTTCAGGGATCTCTTTAAGATGTTTCGTTTTTGCATTACCTACCGACTATATCGCTGAGTAATCCTCAGATGCATGCAGAATCTATGTATTGTTTAATTTGCACTGTTATGGCATGATGAATGTATAAATTGTTATTGTTGGAGATTTTCCTGATATGTTTACAATACTGACAAGTTTTAATGTAAAATTAATACTGAGTGTAACATTTTCAAGAAGCCATGGTGCTGTTCGTTTACAACTTTAATAGCATATAGTGTCTGTTTTTTGGCTTAAATGGTTGCTACCTTTATGTTTCAGGACAGATTTTTGACATATTTGTGTAAATTTGATTAGTTCTGCAATGTTTTTGCCTTGGTAGGTTGCTACTGCAGTTGAATTCTCTGTTTACAACGGTATAGCTTTTACATCACAGAGCACTGCATTTTTTTTTTTTTTATAAAAAGTTGCCAGAGTAGATTCAAAAGTCATCAATGGTTTTCTCATCCTGACCACAGCCATGCTTACCCCAAAGTTAGCACCATTGATTTTTTAATTTTTTTGGAGTGTATCAAATGTTGTTTTTTTTGTTTTTGTTTTTTTATCAAAGTCTTGTTAAAATCACACCCTTTTACAAAAACATCGCATGCAGATGTCTTAAATTTCAAAAGTACATACCTCTGAACTAGCAGTTTATATTATTTGATTGTATTTGCTTTGGACTTAGAGAATTGTGCCTATGATACTTTGAAAAATAAATGATTGTCAAAGGAGTTTAAAAACAAAAAGTGTGAAGTCTTTATTCTGATTGTGCAATACTGCAACACTCTGATTCAAATGCCATGTGAAGGATGTGATTGCATAGGTGGGGCAGATGTTCTGACTACATCAGAGGCAATGTGTCATTTGCTCCTAAAAGGCCAGTTTAATGGCATCTACATAAAAGATACCATTAAAAAAATTATATTTATATGATACATTTGTGAGGATTTGCTGAACTGGGTGTTCACAATTTACAAATTGCTCAAATGATCAATTCAGTTCTGCTCTGTTGACGGACACAGATCAGTGTTAATGCACACATTCCCAAACACATGCCTTCAGCAAAGGAGCAAGGGGCTGCAAAGGAGTCCTGTCTGCTGGTTATATATAGCGGCCCTGCAGTCTGAGGGAGTATCGCTGCTGAAATGGGGGTCGGGGGCCAAGTCTCTTCTCCTGCATAAGGACATTTATAACATTTTTAAAGTGCTGCTTATTAGAAAAATCAGCCACAACTGACTTTCAGAAGTCACGCTGTCTTTAAAAAGCTCGACAGATGGAACAGTGGAGCTATGTGTCTTTTCCCGTAATGTCATTAAAAGCTGGAAAATGTTGTCAGCTGAACCTTAAAGTGTAAGTTGATCTCACAGAAAAGCACATTTTTATGACAGCCATATAACTGTCGCTGACAGGTTGGTTAGACCTTTTATTTCCTTCTTTTTTAGAAACTGAAGGCTCTTTACTGTAGTTATCATCAATATGAATGCAAGATCTCCCAAATTTCCAGAGCACTCTAATCCAGTTGTGAATTAGTAGCGAATCACTTTGTCCCTTTTTTTTAAAATAACGCAAACATTTAAGATTTAGCACATTATGTTTACAACCTGACAGGTAAAACTAATGGTAGCGATCATCAGTAAGTCATTTTTTGCCTGGTGAGTTCACCAACGTTTCTATAGAGAAATGATTATTTCCTGCTCGGTGAAAACGAATGACCTAATCCTAACGATAACCCGTGACGTATTTAATGCTCTTGTTCGTCTCTACGAACGTACGGTGCAGGGAATCTCCCTGCCATAAATAACCATCCCCAGCTAAGAGAGAAGTGCAGAGCTGAACGAAGCACCTGTTCATTTTAAGGGTGGCCGACGCTTCACTCACTTCCTCTGTTGCCATTCCTAAAACTGCTGTCAGACTTCAAGTCCAAAAGAAAATCCATATCATCGTTCACAGCTTCTCCTCCTGTTCGCTGATTGGCCGGTTCCAAATTTTACTGGAGAAATTCAATTATATGGGATGTACTCCTGTGAACATTGGCTCTGCTTTACCAAAGTCTTCTGCTACGTGTCCCGACCCACAGAGAAAACAATCTTTATCATTTTCAGTGTCTCTGCTTCTCAATGTGATAGAGTTGGCCTTCATATTTTGGAAGAAAAAGAAGAAACATTCTTCACTGTGACTCAGTCAAAAGAAATATAAATCTTAAACTGAGGAATTCCTGCTATTAAAGCTTCATGGAGGTTTAAAGACTCTGGGGTGATTTTCTTTTCTCCCCACTTGGACCCATTTTTGAGTTTTTGATGTGAAAACTCATTTTTGGGGCACAACATAACATTATCAAAGTGTTCTGGTTGATTTCACTTGCTCAAAAACAGTTTTTATTAATTGCACCAGTGAAAAGGACTGAAACCTGACTATTCAATTGTCATTTGACATGCGAGAATCTTCGCATACGTGTGTATGAGAGGACTCGTCTTTTTTTGTCTTCGACAGGTTTTATTTCATCATGTCAAAAACATTCTGCATAAAAATGTGTGTCGCATATTCATTTGAACAAACTTCTTTATATTTGCCTTTCATTGCATTGCTATGCACTATTTTTTGAAATTATTACAGGATTTATTGCAAATGACATTATAGAACAATGTAGCAGAACTTGGACTTTTGTTTTTGTTTTGTTTCTTTTTAAGAAAGAAGAAAGTGTTTGTTTTAGCTGTTTAGGTGAAAAGTGACATAAACATGATGGTTTTCCAGCATTTACAGGTGAGAAAGCCACTGCCCACCTTACAATACCCAAGGTCCTGTCAAGGTCCTGTGTTGTAGAGGGACCCAAGTTGCTGACTGAAACATACGAGATTTTAATGGAAATAAATGAAAAAAAAATACAGGCAGTGATAGATAGATGCAGGACGAGGAAACAGAGACGAAAGAAGGAAAATGAGCAACTAAAGTTCTGGGGAGTTTGCCTTCTGACAAGTCAAGCCAGTCAAAAAGTGAAAATGAAAAGTCTTTTTATCCAGACTAGAATCAATCTGTTAGCCGAAAGCAACTCTGAATAAAAGGAGGATTCATCTTTGATTGAAAGGATCTCAGTGTTTCAGCAGATTTACAGTTTTATGGAAGTTCGTTCCAGATTACCGGAGCATAGAAGAAACTGAAAACTGATTTTCCAAGCTTGGATCTCACTCTGGAGGTACAGAACTTGAACCAGAAGGCCCAATTCATCTGGACAGTTGATACAACTGGTCTTGAATGTATTTTTGTGTTCAGCCATTCAGTGATTAAACTGGTAATGTTTTCCTATGCTTAGTTTTTCTCAGTCTCTTAATTAAAATGATCAAAACTGTGTGATCGATCTTCAAATCGATGTGTCACCTATGCACATAAAAAATGTCTAATTTCTTTGAGCCAGTTGCAAGTATTTATGTGAAATGCTTTGCTTTTTTTCTACATTTTCTACATTTCTACATTGTGTGATCTGCAGGTTTATCCGGTACTTTCATCAGTTGGCATCTCACCTATAACTTGAAGAGGAAAACAAATTCCATCTTCATTAGAAACCTGTAAGTCAACTTTCACCTTCTGTTCTGCATTTCTTACTCCTGAGATATCCGGCTGAGTCAAAATATTTCTAACTACACTTGTAGAGCACAATTGATAAAGACAAAGATCAATCACTTCATACATGTTCATACATTACATAGACTCTGTTCTGTATTATTCACCTGACTTACCTATAACAAATATTTGGTAACTTCTGAAGGGAGTTGGTGTCACTTAGTTTTATTTAGGGGTATCAGACTAAAAGGTTCCTCAATATAAATGTGCTTAAAAACTTATGTAATAGGACAAAAAATTAAAAGGTTAATCATTTGCAAGACACCGAATTGTAATATGTTAGAACAGCAGAGACAAACAACCTAATATTTCAGTCATCAGGCTGCTCTCATAATGAAGGTAATTCTTAAGATCTGTAGGGCGGATCATGCAGGAAGTGTCACAAGAGATATGGGTAACATAGTTACCTCCCTCTGTCTCAAAGATTATTAAACAAGTTCTTCACTGGAGTATGTATTATTAAGTCGAGAGAGTGAAGAGACAAGGAGACTTGGGCTTAGGACAAACAAGGTAGGGTTTTCTCTGTTATTAATTAGAAACAAAGTGATCAGAACTCACTCAAAAATGACCACTGTGACTTTTTGAGAACTATTTTTCGAAGATGTTGTGACATTGGCGGCTTTATTTGAAGTGAACAGAAAGGGAAGGACACAGAGCAAAGACATGAAATCAGGAGTTGAATCCCACTAATGTCAGCAGCTTCTGAATGTGGGACATCCAGTTAAAGACCAGTGTCTCCTGCCTCCTGAAAATGTTTTCCTGTTAGGAGCTGAACCATTTCCAGTCTATAGACTCTTAAATCCTTGTAGCTGTTTTGTGCCCGGCGTTAAGCTCCATCGATCATTCCATCAACTCTGAAATGCTCGCATGTCAGTGCTGAAGAAAAGCATCTCCAAGGCGTGAAAATTTGACATTTTTTCTTCCCACTCTTCCATAAAGTCCAGATTTGTGGAGTTTATGACTAATAGTCAGGGGTGGAAATTTAAAATTTTCTCCCCTAGTGGCTGGTTGAGAAAATTTTTTGACCAGCTACTCAGACATTTTACAAGCCAGTTTTTTTTCGTTCATGACAAAGCCCACAGGTACAAGCAAATTATAAAAAATTTATGATTTATTCTTAACTCTTTGAAAGCCAGTTTACTGACAATAAGTTTTAACACAAAGCATGGACACCTTAACAGGGTTGTAGAGCAACAAATTAATTTTAAGTAAATACTAACTTCAAACTTTAACTACACAACCCTAACAGTCTTGCAGTCATATGTTGAACATTTCCAGATTTTGGCAACAACTCTCCCTGATAGTAATTATTAATGATGTGTCTAGTCATTTAAAATATTTTTAAATTGTTTCAATAGCTGTTTTCTAACTGTTTTATTTATTTTCCTTACTAATTACGTATTCTATTGAAATTAACAGCTATTACTGAAATATCTCAGAACGTGTTCATTATTAATCCCACAGGCCATCAGTAGCAGCTTCATCATCATCATCATCATCATTCTTGTGTTTCTCCAGTTTTTCTGACTACGTGGAGCTGTCAGCTTCCCCCTCACACACAGCTGCCTTCTTGCCTGCATGAAACTTTTTCTTTATGAACATTTTCACTCCTTCTTACCGGGCAGCAACAGCAGCTAACCTGAACTCTTCCTCACTCTTCTCTTTCATCATCCTCCTCTGACGGTAATGAAGCCCCTGAATCGTTCATTCCCTCTTCTTGTCCGCCACTGAATCTCCTCCAACGGTCAAAGTTAGCGTGGTAATTAACATATCGGTTAGTTTGTCACATTTTTGTCCCATTGTAAATCAAGTACAATGGAACCTGTGCCCATTGTTGGATCAGTCGCAGCCTGTCCACCTATCTCTCATTCCTCTCCACCATCATGACTCAAGCTTAAGCCTTAAGCAGTCTCTGTTCACCTAATTTAAAAGGCATTTTCCTCTCTCATTACAGATTTCTGTGGTAGATCTGAATAAGACAAAGCCAAATCCAATGGGATCAGGAGATTTTGGCGTGGTCTCTGAGCTGTTGACAGCTGCCCAAAACCATTCGACCAGCTTTGGTAAAGTCTGGATTATGGTGCTGTTTATCTTCCGCATCTTTGTCCTCACAACAGCCGCTAAAGAAGTGTGGCAAGATGAGCAGTCCAACTTCTTATGTGACACTAAACAACCGGGTTGTCAACTTGCTTGCTACGACAAGTCCTTCCCAGTTTCTCATGTTCGCTTCTGGGTTATGCAAATCATCTTTGTCTCAACACCAACGCTCGCTCATCTAGGGTTTGTACTTCATACAATCCACATAAAGAAGAAACAAACCAGCGACAGTAAAGAAGAACCGAACCAGCGACTCTTAGAAGGTCAAGACAGCAAACCTTCTAAAAATGACTCGAACAGTGAGCCTCAAGTGCCGTTGGAAGGTCCAGTCCTGAAAATGTACACTATCAGTGTAGTTTCTAAGATTCTGTTGGAAATAGCTTTCTTTGTAACTCAGTACTACCTGTATGGATTTGGTCTTAAGTCGATGTATCGCTGTGAACAATGGCCCTGCCTTACCGAAGTCTTCTGCTACGTGTCCAGACCCACAGAGAAAACAATCTTCATCATTTTCATGCTTCTAGTAGCCTTTGTATCTCTGATTCTCAATGTGATAGAGTTGGCCTTTATATTTGACAAAAAATATATGGGCCAAAATAAACATTCTACATGTCACTCAGGCCAAAGCAATTCAAGTCTTAAATCGAAGAATTACAGCAAAAATAGCTATGTGTAGTTTGTCAAATAGAAACACTTGGTTTTTCTCAGTCTCATAATTAAAATTCTCAAAACTGTGATTGATCTTCAAATCATTGTACATAAAAAAAATTCTAAGTTCTTTGAACAAGTTGCAAGTGGTTATGTGAAATGTTTTGCTTTTAATCTACATTTTAATTTTAGAATTTGTCAAGCTAAAGACAATTCTTTTTTGAATTCTGTTCATTGTACAAGTCTTAACATGCAAAATGCCTGAACAATTTGTCATACTGTCAATCATATTTTTAATTAATTTCCATTACACTGTTTTTACAAATCTGCCCTGAAATGTTAAGATTTCTCCCCGGTGAGTCCCAAGTTTCTCCAATGTAGGTAAATGTTTGGAGCATTAGATCAACCAGTTTTCTGAAACAGATTGATTGTACGTCTCATGAACCATCGAGAGGAAAATATCATGGTACATTTATGACAATGGAAGGAGCAGGAATTGGACGGAGTCAACAGAGAGAAGAGAAGAGGAGAGAAGAGGAGTGAAGCTGTGACAGAGGAGTTGGGAGGGAAAACAGAGGAAGAGGCAGAAGAAGATGAGGACATCTGCCTGTTTCCATCAGGCAAATAGACACTGATGGAGTTTCTCTCATCCTGATCCTCATTCCTTAACGTCATTGAGAAATTTTTCTGGTGGAAAATAAAGGAAGACTGCACTGTAATCCCTTCATGTTTCCTTAAGGAGATTGTCTTATATTCCTGCTACTATATATTTTTTTCCCTTTGTGCTGTTTTCTGAATCACAAGTTACAGTAAAATCATAAACGTGAATCTTGCCCTGTCTCTTGCTACTGATCTCCCACAATCACTCTTGTTTCATTAAGTCATTGTGGCGTGTGATCTCCCACTCTACTGGAAGAGTTGGAGGTGTAGCGAGAGGGGGAAGAATGTGATCAGAAAACAAAACTTAAGAAGGCTAAAGGTTAAAACACAAGAAGGAAATGACATAATGAAACCGATCCGTGAATTGAAACAATTGTTTTTGCATCACAGCACATGCAGCTTTAAAGGTTAAAATTAAATAAAAGTGCAAGAGGTAAGATCTGAAGTTATTTACACAAGTATGAAAATGAATAGCTCAGTTGTGTTTTGATGATTTTCAATGTGGCTGAAATGTACATCCTGGGTTCCAAAAACTTCATGGATAGACTTTGTTGCACACAAAGATGGATGTTAATGGTCCAAATGTGATATCCACTCCATCTATAGTTAAATTTGAAGAGTCTGAGTCTTTACTAAAGCAGCGTATGACAGAGTCAAACTCTGCTTTCAGCTCCAACAGCAGCAAGATGAGTCCTATAAGTGAATTTAAAGTGTCTGAATCTTAACTAAAGCAGTCCATAACAAAGTCAAACGCTGCTCTCAGCCCCAGCAACAACAACAAGAAGAATTTAAGGCACAAAGACGACAACCTGAAAATCTGAGGACATTCTGTTCAATTCCTAAGTTCGGGAACAATATGAAGGCATGTGCATCTAAGATGTTTTTTTATTATTAAATTAACTTAAAGCTTATTTGTGTTGTTGTTGTTTTTTCATCCACAAATCAGGAGCAGAAAAACGTTTTGTAGAAAGCTACTTACAATTCCAAAGGACGTCAGTAAAAATCATCCAGACTTTCATTACTTTTCTGCTAATAAGCTAAAACTTTGGGTTCAGCTCAGCACAACAAAGCTGGATCCTCTGACTCGAATAAACTTTATGTATTAAAAAATATGACCTGCTTGGAAGTTGTTTAGAACTTAAGGTAATCAATCCCACTTCTCGGTTTAGCTTTTGTTTGTTTGTTTTTTTATGTCTATTTGGAAAAAAAATATTGAAGTCAAAAAAAGAGAGTTATAGTTTCGGGTCAAGGCGGGATCTATTCGGTATTATTCACCTGACCTATCTCTATATTTGGTAACTTCTGAAGAGAGTTAGTTTTATTTAGGGGTATCAGAATAAAGGTGTCTCAAAATAAATGTGCTTAAAAACTTATGTGTTAAAATGTTGAAAACTATGTAACAGAGTTATAGTCAAGACCACCTAATCCGAGACGATGACAGGATCAGGAACGAGGGAAGTCGAGACTGAGTCAAGACCGAGACCAGCACCCCACGCCACATGACGCAGTAAAATGTGAGATATTATCAAAATTGCTAATCAAATTGATCCTAAAGATCAATTTGATTGATCTTGAACACCTAGATATTAAATACTTAAAGCTGAAATCCATTTAACTAATATCAAAAGAGAAACAATTACCTAAAAAGATAATGCCCAGGGCATTTTCCCATATCATTCATGTCAGAAATCAGCACTGTCAGTGAGGCTCCAGTCCAGGACCGACCCAAGCCTCTATGGGGCCCTCAGCGAAATGTGGTTTTGGGGCCCTCTCGTTCTGGTAACAATGAGGACCTGCTGCAATCAGCAATCTGATCACTAGATCATTCACGCACCTTCCATAAACTTATTTATTGCATCTCTGGCAGTGCTGTTTACATTATATACATGTATTATAGGATACATTTGTCAACCAGTTGATTTTGGGGGATTGTGATTGGCCGATACTTACATGTAAAGCTGATCTTATCTTTGTCAGGGAAGGTTTAAAAATTAAGTCTCTGTCCTCTTCTGCTCTGCAGTGAGAGGTCTGACTGACAGACCAGCCCACCAGGTAGGGTCTAAACATTTACATTTAACAATATTCACCCCTCTGTTGCCAACTCAGTGACTTTCTTGCTACATTTAGCAACATTTCAGAGAAAAAAAATCATATCAGCCAAAATCAAAATTGGCAGGTCAGGCTTCTTAAAGATGGTAACAAAAACGGAGAAACAATAACATATGCATTCGAAACGCCTAAACAAACATCCTTTTAAGTTTCACACCTTGTCAATTACATTTTTCCACGGACCACAGACTGCAGTTTTACTAAAGCAGCTAACACACTGGACACATAAATGTCATTTGGCCACAAGGAACATTTAACCAAGGATCGACCAGCAAACTGCAATCGGTGCAGCCCTACAGACAAAGTCACGACATTCTTTGATTAAATAAATTTCTCTTAAGCATCACTTCAATGTCTAAGACTTTAATTTAAACCAGGTGAGTCTTTCTCCTCTGAGAATCAAGCAGGACGTGTAACAAGTGACATAGTTACCTCCCTTTGTCTCAAAGATTATAGAACAAGTTCTTCACTGGAGTATGTATTATTAAGTCGAGAGAGTGAAGAGACAAGGAGACTTGGGCTTAGGACAAACAAGGTAGGGTTTTCTCCATTATTAATTAGAAACAAAGTGATCAGAACTCACTCAAAAATGACCACTGTGACTTTTCGAGAACTCTTTTTCGAAGATGTTGTGACATTGGTGGCTTTATTTGAAGTGAACAGAAAGGGAAGAACACAGAGCAAAGACATGAAATCAGGAGTTGAATCCCACTAATGTCAGCAGCTTCTGAATGTGGGACATCCAGTTAAAGACCAGTGTCTCCTGCCTCCTGAAAATGTTTTCCTGTTAGGAGCTGAACCCATTTCCAGTCTATAGACTCTTAAATCCTTGTAGCTGTTTTGTGCCCGGCGTTAAGCTCCATCGATTATTCCATCAACTCTGAAATGCTCGCATGTCAGTGCTGAAGAAAAGCATCTCCAAGGCGTGAAAATTTGACATTTTTTCTTCCCACTCTTCCATAAAGTGCAGATTTGTGGAGTTTGTGACTCCACAAATCTGGTTTTTCTCAGTCTCTTAATTAAAATTCTCAAAACTGTGATTGATCTTCAAATCATTGTACATAAAAAAAAAATTCTAATTTCTTTGAACAAGTTGCAAATGGTTATGTGAAATGCTTTGCTTTTAATCTACATTTTGAAATGTAATTTAAAAGTGACAAAATCATTTTGTCAAGGTAAAGACAATTCTTTTTTGAATTCTGTTCATTGTACAAGTCTTAACATGCAAAATGCCTGAACAATTTGTCATACTGTCAATCATATTTTTAATTAATTTCCATTACACTGTTTTTACAAATCTGCCCTGAAATGTTAAATTTCTCCCCGGTGAGTCCCAAGTTTCTCCAATGTAGGTAAATGTTTGGAGCATTAGATCAACCAGTTTTCTGAAACAGATTGATTGTACGTCTCATGAACCATCGAGAGGAAAATAACACCATGGTACATTTATGACAATGGAAGGAGCAGGAATTGGACGGAGTCAACAGAGAGAAGAGAAGAGGAGTGAAGCTGTGACAGAGGAGTTGGGAGGGAAAACAGAGGAAGAGGCAGAAGAAGATGAGGACATCTGCCTGTTTCCATCAGGCAAATAGACACTGATGGAGTTTCTCTCATCCTGATCCTCATTCCTTAACGTCATTGAGGAATTTTTCTGGTGGAAAATAAAGGAAGACTGCACTGTAATCCCTTCATGTTTCCTTAAGGAGATTGTCTTATATTCCTGCTACTATATATATTTTTTTCTTTGTGCTGTTTTCTGAATCACAAGTTATAGTAAAATCATAAACGTGAATATTGCCCTGTCTCTTGCTACTGATCTCCCATAATCACAATTTGCAAATCTTGTCATCAAACTTTATCCATAGTTAACAACAGTAAACAATTACTTGTCATTTTGAGTCACATTGAGACAGAAAGAAACTGGCTCTTCCAGTCTATTTTGTTAGTATGAATTGCTGAGAAATGTTCTGTTTTGTAATTCTCGAAAATGATTCAACAAATTCATCAATGCAGCTGAGAAAAACTGTCATTAGAACAGAGACAATTAAAATGTCTCAAACAAAGCTTGAGATATTTGTTATTTCATGGAGCATTAATGGAGGAAACAACAAAACAAACATTTGTTTTGTTGTTTTTTTCTGACATACCTTATCTGTTTCTCCATCTTCCTCATGCTTCTCATACTAGTCTTTCTATTCTTCTTTCATCATGCCATTGTAGCATGTGATCTCCTACTCTACAGGAAGAGTTGGAGGTACAAAGAGAGGGGGAAGAATGTGATCAGGAAACAAACATTAATAAGGCTAGAGAGGAAAACACAAGAAGGAAATGACAGAATGAAACTGATCAGTGAATTGAAACAAACATTTTTGCATCACATGCCGCGTTAAAATGAACAAAAGTGCAAGAGGTAAGATGTGCTAAATGTGACTTTTTTTAACGTTTTTTCAGCAAATAATCACCCTAATTAATTTATTTTTTAGCCATTCAGAGATTCTGACATGTTGGGATCATCTGTGTAAAACAAAATGGTTGCTACCAATAAAATGCATATATTTTGGCCAGATGTTTTATACATATGATCGATATAATGGTGCACAACTATTCAGAAGATTTAAATTGTGCTTCCTCCGTTTACTAAATACTTTTACCCAGATGTTTTTTGGGAGTCATTAGGTTGTTTTGTTTTGTCTTTTAAATGTGAAACAGATCTTTGTTGTTTTTGGTCAGCAGAGATTTTGTACTTTGAATTCTGTCATGGATGTGAATTAAGTGAGACTCTGCCAAAACATTGTTATTTACAGCAGTAGTCCCTAAACCCTGGGCCGCGGATCGGAACCGGTCCCTGGACCAATTGGTACCGGGCCACTCAACAAATAATTAAATATTTCCTTCTCATGTATTATTTGAGTCTGGAGGATCTTTTATTTTGAAAATCCTTGAACTGGATGCTCTCGGTTAAGTCTTGAGCCAACATTGAGCCCACAAGCAGCAAAATGAGTAACAGATCAGATTCTTTGGAAAGTTTCTTTGCGAAGGGAAAAGGCCCAGAGAGGAGACAGGAGAATGAATTTATCCAGGGAGGTGATTCCCACATTCCAAGTCTGCTATGCATGACATGGTGACCTGCTCCTTAATGAGGGAATGAAGCCTTCAAACTGTAGAGGCCAAGCACCACGTGCATAAGCAACACTTCGGGTGTCATTGTCTCTCATTACTCCCAAATGGGACCGACTCGTTGCAGAAAAACAAGCTCAGGCGACTAAAATGAAGGAAGCCTGACCTTTGCCTTGTGTAATGTAACATCACTGATTACATAACATTACATTACATTACAGATAAATAAGTCATTTTCCTGAAGACAAAATGAAACCACACATTGACAATAAGATTTCAACAGCTTTTAGTTGAAACAGGGCGAAAGGAACTTACTAAAGATATGAGTTCAAACGGTTTGTTCGGTTTTTAACGTTTGTGTTCTTTACACCAGCCACACAACCGTTGCAATGGCGTAATAATCATGTCTTCCTGTAAATACACCTGCACTGCAAAACAGTTTTTGATATACAACTCCAAAGTTGTATGTCACTTGTAGCCGCAGCAGGGCACCGAGGCAGCCAAGTGATATATCCACAGTGCCCGGCAGTGCTTCATGTCAACATGCATCAAATATAGACAGATTTACTCAGCCAGGCACCTATTGGCTTTTCTCCACAGTATTTTAGGTGGACCGCCATGCCTTGGTATGTGTGTATGTGTGTGTGTGGGGGTGTATAGTTGTGCCATGCTCTGATTTCAGATGATTAATTGATCTGGGCTCTTGGATGTTATACGTTTGGGATCTCCTACTCTACAGGAAGAGTTGGAGGTACAAAGAGAGGGGGAAGAATGTGATCAGGAAACAAACATTAATAAGGCTAGAGGGGAAAACACAAGAAGGAAATGACAGAATGAAACTGATCGGTGAATTGAAACAAACGTTTTTGCATCACATGCCGCGTTAAAATGAACAAAAGTGCAAGAGGTAAGATGTGCCAAATGTGACTTTTTTTAACGTTTTTTCAGCAAATAATCACCCTAATTAATTTATTTTTTAGCCATTCAGAGATTCTGACATGTTGGGATCATCTGTGTAAAACAAAATGGTTGCTACCAATAAATGCATATATTTTGGCCAGATGTTTTATACATATGATCGATATAATGGTGCACAACTATTCAGAAGATTTAAATTGTGCTTCCTCCGTTTACTAAATACTTTTACCCAGATGTTTTGGGAGTCATTAGGTTGTTTTGTTTTGTCTTTTAAATGTGAAACAGATCTTTGTTGTTTTTGGTCAGCAGAGATTTTGTACTTTGAATTCTGTCATGGATGTGAATTAAGTGAGACTCTGCCAAAACATTGTTATTTACAGCAGTAGTCCCAAAACCCTGGGCCGCGGATCGGAACCGGTCCCTGGACCAATTGGTACCGGGCCACTCAACAAATAATTAAATATTTCCTTCTCATGTATTATTTGAGTCTGGAGGATCTTTCATTTTGAAAATCCTTGAACTGGATGCTCTCGGTTAAGTCTTGAGCCAACATTGAGCCCACAAGCAGCAAAATGAGTAACAGATCAGATTCTTTGGAAAGTTTCTTTGCGAAGGGAAAAGGCCCAGAGAAGAGACAGGAGAATGAATTTATCCAGGGAGGTGATTCCCACATTCCAAGTCTGCTCTGCATGACATGGTGACCTGCTCCTTAATGAGGGAATGAAGCCTTCAAACTGTAGAGGCCAAGCACCACGTGCATAAGCAACACTTCGGGTGTCATTGTCTCTCATTACTCCCAAATGGGACCGACTCGTTGCAGAAAAACAAGCTCAGGCGACTAAAATGAAGGAAGCCTGACCTTTGCCTTGTGTAATGTAACATCACTGATTACATAACTCAATCAGAAACAGATAAATAAGTCATTTTCCTGAAGACAAAATGAAACCACACATTGACAATAAGATTTCAACAGCTTTTAGTTGAAACAGGGCGAAAGGAACTTACTAAAGATATGAGTTCAAACGGTTTGTTCGGTTTTTAACGTTTGTGTTCTTTACACCAGCCACACAACTGTTGCAATGGCGTAATAATCATGTCTTCCTGTAAATACTGTTTTTGATATACAACTCCAAAGTTGTATGTCACTTGTAGCCGCAGCAGGGCACCGAGGCAGCCAAGTGATATATCCACAGTGCCCGGCAGTGCTTCATGTCAACATGCATCAAATATAGACAGATTTACTGGGCCAGGCACCTATTGGCTTTTCTCCACAGTATTTTAGGTGGACCGCCATGCCTTGGTATGTGTGTATGTGTGTGGGTGTGTGTGTGTGTGTGTGTGTGTGTGTGTGTGTGTGTGTGTGTGTGTGTGTGTGTGTGTATAGTTGTGCCATGCTCTGATTTCAGATGATTAATTGATCTGGGCTCTTGGATGTTATACGTTTGGGATGTTGATCTTTTCATTGCGATCAAAATTTTCCCTGCTGCCATGCCTGTTTTTGGACACTAGGGGTCGCCCTTTAAACGCAGCAGTTTAATTTCACAGCATGAATGAATGAATGTGTTCATTCATTTTGAGAAGTTTCTCCGTGTTCACTGACAGCTGTTGTTTTTAGTACAACTTCAGTAGAAATATACAGATGATTTATAATCCATTAAGCAAAACTGAAGTAAAATGTAAAATATATTTTTTAGAAAAAATAAGAGTACGATTAAACTGTTGATTAAATTCATTATCAGAGGCTTTTTTTTAGGATCCCACCACTGCATCTCAATTTACAGCTTTAACTGGGCGATTTATTTTGTTTTCCAGTCGGTCTCTTGTAGATTTGCTGCTGTTGGGTTTAAGATCAAAATTTGACATTTTTTCTTCCCACTCTTCCATAAAGTCCAGATTTGTGGAGTTTGTGACTCCATAAATCTGGTTTTTCTCAGTCTCTTAATTAAAATTCTCAAAACTGTGATTGATCTTCAAATCATTGTACATAAAAAAAATTCTAATTTCTTTGAACAAGTTGCAAATGGTTATGTGAAATGCTTTGCTTTTAATCTACATTTTGAAATGCCTTTGTCATTTAAAATTGACAAAAGCATTTTGTCAAGCTAAAGACAATTCTTTGATGAATTCTGTTCATTGTACAAGTCTTAACATGCAAAATGCCTGAACAATTTGTCATACTGTCAATCATATTTTTAATTAATTTCCATTACACTGTTTTTACAAATCTGCCCTGAAATGTTAAATTTCTCCCCGGTGAGTCCCAAGTTTCTCCAATGTAGGTAAATGTTTGGAGCATTAGATCAACCAGTTTTCTGAAACAGATTGATTGTACGTCTCATGAACCATCGAGAGGAAAATAACACCATGGTACATTTATGACAATGGAAGGAGCAGGAATTGGACGGAGTCAACAGAGAGAAGAGAAGAGGAGAGAATCTGTGACAGAGGAGTTGGGAGGGAAAACAGAGGAAGAGGCAGAAGAAGATGAGGACATCTGCCTGTTTCCATCAGGCAAATAGACGCTGATGGAGTTTCTCTCATCCTGATCCTCATTCTTTAACGTCATTGAGAAATTTTTCTGGTGGAAAATAAAGGAAGACTGCACTGTAATCCCTTCATGTTTCCTTAAGGAGATTGTCTTATATTCCTGCTACTATATATTTTTTTCTTTGTGCTGTTTTCTGAATCACAAGTTACAGTAAAATCATAAACGTGAATCTTGCCCTGTCTCTTGCCACTGATCTCCCACAATCACTCTTGTTTCATTAAGTCATTGTGGCGTGTGATCTCCCACTCTACTGGAAGAGTTGGAGGTATAGAGAGAGGGGGAAGAATGTGATCAGAAAACAAAACTTAAGAAGGCTAAAGGTTAAAACACAAGAAGGAAATGACATAATGAAACCGATCCGTGAATTGAAACAATTGTTTTTGCATCACAGCACATGCAGCTTTAAAGGTTAAAATTAAATAAAAGTGCAAGAGGTAAGATCTGAAGTTTTTCACACAAGTATGAAAATGAATAGCTCAGAGCGTCAGTTACTCTGGCGCATGATTTTGCTCTGAAGCACCATGACAGGAAACCGTAAGCCCTAGCAAAATTTCGAAAACACTTTACCGGAGCAGGCGGGCGTATCGATGTCATGACCGAGATTGATACCGATAGGGCGATATTTGTGGCGATTTCAAAATTGATTTGGGGTCAAAATGGCACTCCGTCCGACACGCTAACAAAACGTTAGTTACACTTTGCATTTCGGCATTTGGAAATTTTGCCTATGCATTGCTATGGGCAGGCCCCAATTACTGACCGCTGGAGGAGATTTGAGTCGTCTGTGCGTCATACAAAGACAACAGAAGAAAGTGTCATTGATGCTGCTGTGAAAAACATGAAGTAAAAGTTTTCTTGGAACGAATCCTGTCATTTAATTGTTTTATACAGTGAAGTTGTGACATTTTCACTATGTAGCTGATTTTTCTACCTTTTAACTGTATCCATAAGATCATTAAGAAGCAGAAAATTCAGCCAAATCTCAAAACAAAGCTGTTTCTTCCTTGCAGTTTGAGGTTTTTGGAGGTTCCACATTCAAATCTTCCCATTATATAAATACCTGCCATACATTTCTTTAAAAAAATAAAAATAAAACCAAAATATTTTGGTTTAAAATGGCCCTAATCAGCCAAGAACTCAGAAAATTTGATTCTTATTTATCAAGACAAAAGACAACTCATTAAATCACTGCTCTTTATTCTCATACATTTAGGCACCAATCAAACTAATCCATATAAATCAAACAAACATCCAAGCGTCACATATATTGCAAAATAAGAACTCGAGAGGTTTTCAGAGCCGTGCATCAACTTTCCCATCCTCTGGAAAGAGGATAGACACTTTTATGGGCGTTTGAAAAAATATTTTGCATAAAGGAATGTTTGATCTGAATACTTTAGATTTGCAAAGACAAATGAACAAATTCTTGAAATCAAAGTACTTGTGATTTGAGAATAAAGAGAAAGCAACAGATCAACGCATGCTCAAACTCAATCCATGCACATCCTGTTCCAGAATTAGCTGCTGTTTGCATGTCATAATCATTGTGACATTCAAAGATGTCAAAAACAAAACATGACGGCAGGAACTAACAAAGTAAAATCATGCTCAAATTTAGCTTTTCCTTTTACTCCCCATCAGTCATAATAAATAGATACTAAAGTCTCCTGCTGAGACTCAGGACTTTAATTTATTATTAGACTTTAAAATTAGGAAAGGATAACATATCTAACATCAATAATGTATTTTGCCATTTTCTAACACATTTCACACATAAACAGTGGCATATTTATTACTTTTTTGCTCCAAAGAGTAGTTGTGGGTTTAAGATGAGTTTGTAAACCTCAACAGTAAAAGTAAAATTAATACTGCAACACAAAAAGTGTTGGTCCTTCAGTCCTGGTCAAGCAAAGACAAAATAATTATTCAGCAAATGATTAAAAACAGCCAGCACAACATTTCAGCTTTAGTTAAGAGGCACATAAAACACTAATTACTCCGGAGAAAAGCAGAGACTCTAAAGCTTCATATAAATCTGTTGATTTGGCCCCAAAAGACGGCAAGCCGCAGCTGACCCCTGCCACCGAGATACAAACACAACTACAGCTTGTAAATCTTTAACAACTGTGCAAATTGTCCACTGAGACAGAAGCAATATGAAGACAAAAAACAGGACACACACACACACACACACAAAAAAAAAACAAACAAAAAAAAACAGACAGAAATACTGAAAAATCTGGCTTCTTGTAGCAAGCAGCGAAAGCAGAGGCCTTGGAAATCCTGTAACTATGCTACAACATGCTCTATATGTAAATGCTGCAGACGATTCACGTTAATATATAATTCTGTGGATATACTGTTTTACAGGTTGAAAAATATCCCTTTTTAACCCCTTATGCGTCTACACAAATGTCACCCTGAGATTCGATGAAGCAAAAATATCCTTCAAAAGGTTCAACAGTCCTGGAGCTCATTGGGTCGACAGAAACCTCACGGTTACAGGAAACCAACACGGATGGAGAGAAAGTTACGATGGGTCGCCCAGCGAGGTCCGCAGACAGAGCACAGGAGGTTCATCTGGACATCTCCTGCTTTCCAGGCAAACGTTTGACCTACTCATGAAAAATGTGTTGATTTAGCAAAGCCTGTCGAACACGAGCCTGGGTTACGTGGTTCAGTGTACCATATGTTCACCATGATTGCTGCTGAAGGTGCAAAACAGCTGACTGTGTCGTGTGGAACAGCAGCGCCCTCCGCAGCATGTTATTGCCAGGGCCAGTCTTTAACGAGGGCTTTACCAGGGCCCCACGTCTTTGCTGTCTAAATTTGATTTCATATTTTGCATATAATAAATGGACATTTTTCAATATCACTAAAAAGTCAGGGGGTGGGGCGCTCTGTAACGATTATCCGAATGATTTTATTCTCATCTTTGTGAAATATGGCTTACAGCAAAAACAAAATCCCAAATCCGGTTTCTCAAAGAAAAAAAGAATCAGGTTTACACAATACTTTGGTTTACATACTGAAGCTCCTATTACATGAATTACAGAATTGGTACACCCTTCTGATGTTTCTCATTAAAGAGTGGATTAAATAATCCAACAGTTTTAACTCGTTTTAATCCATCTGTTTGTGCTGGCTTTTTAATCTTCTAGCACACAGCTTTTAAATTTCCCCCAAACTGTCTCAAGGACTTGGTTCTACAATCCTTGCATTTTCTTCCACAATATTCCTCCTTCCACTCAACTTTCCATCATCATGTGTCGATGTAGTACTTTGAACAGGCAGCTTCTTTGGTTGGTTATACATATCATAGCACAACCACATCAATAAACCTCTGTACCAAAATTTTGTTCATTACATTTTTTCCCTTCAGTACAAGGAAAGTTAGATGGTTTATATTAGCCATGTACAATACAGAAATATTGCTTGATTGTTTTGTGTTTAATGAATCTAAATGGGAGTTTTTACTTTTTGAACTTACAGGTAAAGTAATTTTGAGATAATGTTCAAATTTATTGTTATACACCTCCAAAGGTGTCTGAAATTAATATGTTCTTGTTTGGTTTTTGGTGTAATTCAATCTCCACATACAGGCATCTTGACATTTCAATGAGTTTTTTTGTGGATAAAAGACATTTTTTAACATACTTATGAGGAACTTTTTATAGAAGATAGATACAAAGATAAAAAAAAAATTAAATAAAAGCTGGAGTAGCTATTTATTGTAACGTGCATGCGGAAAGAAAATCTTGCCCCATAATTCTAAATCCAGCCCTGGTTATTGCAAATGTTTTTCGCTGACGTTTAACTTTTTTTTTTGCTCTCAAAATGTGTCATTTCCAGTCAGATAAACTCTGATCAGTTTATGGCTTCCAGGAACAGCAGCACAATGTGTCCTCTACCCACTACTGCTCTACTCCACTATTAACTAAGCTGGTGTTTCTTACATTAAGCTGAAGTTCTGAGCAAATCTAACAAGTCAAAAGACAAACTATCAGACACTGTAGTTTCATTCTAAGTAGTGCATACTAATCTGATATACATTTAAACATTCAGAAACAGATTCCGAGTCTATTGGTTTGATAGACTTGTCAGGTATTTATCACGCTTGACTCAGTTTCTTAAATCTGACTTGTCAAAGTGCAGCTACATGAGAGGATAGGGGTGAAATGCATAATGAGATTAGGTCAAAATTGAAAACACACCGGGTCTGTTGGTCAGTGAAGCTCCTGTAGTGTCTTTCAGATCCCGTCATTTCGGATAATCAGCGAAACGCGCGCAGAATTTTAAACCCACTTTAGCGTCAAAATCCACATTTCAATCTGGCCGGAGAAAGGAAATAAAACCTGTAGCGAGACAGAAACACTGTAATGATTCCCTTATGCGTCCTTTTTTTTTTTTTTACTTCTTGGCCTTCAGTTTGAGCTGTGCAACCCTGGCCTGTCCCAGTTTCGTCTGAATGTGTACGTGCCGCTCAAAGAAGCTGACGATGGCCGGCTCATTGAGCAGCGAGGCCAGAATCTGCTCAAAGGAAAACGACCAATCTGGATCCGGCTGCTCCGCCGCCCCTTCCTGGCTGCTGTGAGAGCTGGAGGCGTCTGAGGTCTCCTTACAGGAGGCCTCTTGGGTCGAAGACGCCTCCACAGAAGCGCCGGTGCTGGCAGGCTGCGTGGCCTCGGCGGGCGGGCTGCTTGGCTCCTGCAGCCTCCGGCCAACCTCCTCCATCCTCAGGAGGAGGCTGGTCACGTGGGCTACGGCCCGGTACAAGCGCTCCTCCTCCGGGTCGCCGTGGAAGATGTTATAGAGGGTTTTGGAGAACTGGATGAACTGAGCCTGAGGTGGGAAATGAAGACGAAATCATTCTATAGGGGTGATTTATTCCTCAAACTAAATAAACAGACGATTAGATGAATTACCTGATTAATTCTTGGTAGATCCTTGATTGTTTCCTCCTTTTTAAGGATTTCATTTTGCCATTGTTTCAGGTAGGCCTGAAGGTCAACCTTTCCCCTGCCTGTTGGTTTGACAGGCGGAAGAGGATCAGATGAAAACACAAACGGTATTCAGGGTATCTTTGACATCTTTCATGTCACAGATATCCTGTTTTTCCAGATTTATCATAAAACACCCTCAGCCCTATAGAGTCGTTATAAAAGGCAACAGATCACTAGAAACGTATGGTAGGTATTTCTACCTTGTTGAGGTTTTCAGGGTGGTACCTGCAAAACCAGAAACTCTAAGGAAAAAAGCTACACTAGAGCAAAAAGGAAGGAAAATAATGAGGTCATGAAAGCAAGGAAGAAAGAACACGTGGAAGAAAATTAGGATATGTGGAAAGAAGGAAGGAAATGACAAGGAAATGGTAACAAAGGAGGAAGGAAGGATACCAGTAAGGTACAAAAGACATCACTTGTGTCACACATATGAAAAAAATGACAGAAGAAGGAGAGGAAGAAAGGGAGGGAACAAAGAAAGGGAATATGGACACCAAGGAGAAACAAAACAAGGAGAATTAGGCACAAGGAAGAAAGTAGATTTTAGGAAAGACACCAGGAAGGACATAAGTACAGAGAGGAGGACAGAACAAAGAGGAAGGAGAGCAGGATGGAGGAGACAAGAAGGAAAAAAGAAAAGTTATAAGTAAATGACAGAAGGAAGGGACAGAGGAGACAAGGAATTAAGGAAGAAAAAAAGAAAACGCACGAAAGAATAAAGGATGTAAAAAGACATGCAGAAGAAAAGAGAAAAAGTAAACAAGAAGAGATGCAAGGCAGAAAAAAATACACAAGTGTGGAAGCAAGAAAAGGAGGAATAAAATAATAAAAACATAATGACAATGAAAGAAGGAAGTCAGAAAGAGAAAGCAAGAAAGGATAGAGGACAGAAGGAGGAAAGGACATAAAGAAAAAAACTCATCTCAGAGATGAGAGGTAGGAAGAGATGAGGAATTATAGATGTATCAAAGAAAAGACTTTATTTCAGACATAAAGGAGAAAGGAAATAAAGGAAGGATGCAGAAAAGGAAGAATGGAAGCACAACTTTTAGACTATGAGGTAGGAAGCATTCTTTCTCCATCCACTGTTTGAAAATAAAAACCCAGACTTTTCCAGTCTGCATAAGAAACCTGAGAATACAGCTGCAAATGTAGACGTGACCCTACCTCTTTCAGGACTTTTTCTTATGACACCATCTTCGGGAAGATCAAAGGCTGGAAAAGAAATGGGTGACATGTTAAAACTATGTCGAGGAAAACCTTCAGACAAGCCTGAATTATGAGAGTTAGAAAAAAAGGGGAGAAATTGGGAGTTTTTAGGGAGAAGAAAAAGAGTAGAGGCTAACCAGCGAGTCTGGTCAAGTGAGAGGAGTCTTCAATTGTTGGAAGAAATTGCTGGACTCTTTGTTCCTTTAAGTGCAAAGGACTACCTGTGAAAGCTAAAGAGACAGTCTGTGAGAAAACTGAAAGCAGAAAGGACAGGACCCTAATCCACACAGGCAGCAAAACAGAAATCAAGACAGAATCCAATGTAGTTTTGTAAAAATATAAGAAAATTTTAACACATGATGACCCTTAGAAAATAGGTAAACAGTCTATGATTGAATTAATTTGTATTTATTAAAAAATGTTTGACATTTAATAGGAATTTTTACCATATGTGATGTGTTGCAGAAAGATGTTAGAAAAAAACTTAAATCAATTTATATTTGACAAAAGGGCTGAGTTTTCTTTTCTTTTTCCAATGGATGAAATTATTCTTTAAAAAATGTAAAAGTTTGTAAAACGTCCAATCTGCTTTTGTGTATGTTTTATTCCGCTTCTTGAAGCACTTTGTGAATTTCATCTTGAAAAGTTTTGCTTATTTTATTTCAAAAATGTTAACAGGGTTTGTTAAGGACACCAGGAAGTGGTAAAAAACTGAAAAGTGTGGCATATCAACTTACTGGGCCTTGTAGGTTTGAATTTTTTTCACTGAAACATTCGCGCGTGAGACAAACATGCAAAAGAAATTACAAAAGATGGGAAAAAAAACTTCTTCACATGATTATGTATAAAAAAAACATTAGGTTGAGTATTTTTTAAAAAATCTGTATCTCAATACCTCTGAGCTCCACTCATGACCACATCTGGGTGCAAGCATGCGTGTTGCTTTCATGCATTGATTAAACAATTATCCCAACAAGTCAAGCAAACATCATTTCATCTGCCTGCACGGCTTGGTGCAGCATTAGCAGCAGTGCCTGAGGTCGCCACTTTAATCTGACACAGAGACCTTCTCCTGTGTCGATCTCAATTCAATTCATATAATTTTGGCCGTGTAATCCAATATGCTCCACTTTTTTCTTTTTCCGTCTGACACTTTGTGGATGGGAAAGCAGGGAAACTGATAACTCCTGCTGCGCTTCAAGGTTTAAAGGAATGAATAGTTCAATTCCTCCTGCTGCAAACAAAAAAACAAAGATGATGTAAGCGAGCGTTTGCTGCCCTTTGTGACTGATAAGTGCACGCAGCTGCTGCACCTTTTGTTCGGGCTGAAAGATTCTCCTCTCAAAGAGCACATGATTCGATTTCCTGGATCAATAAAGTGTCTGGAGCGGCACCTTTTACTCGGGAAGAGGAAGCAGATGACAAAGACAGCTTCCAGTGGCTGATTTAGGAAGAATCCCGACAAAATAAGGTGACAGGCAGCACTCTGGTGTGACCTGTCCTTGGTGCTGCAGCGCTCGGCCCTCTCCATGAGACACAGGCTGCGTGGCTTGATGTTTATTGGCCTGGCACAGCACCAATGGTGACTCAGGGCTCATCTGCTGCTAAGCTGTCAGTTGCAATCTGAGCAGCTCTTTCGCTCCTGTTTTTAGAGGAACCATCCCACGGCAGAAAAGCCCTTGCGGCTCCTGACACCCATCGTTGCCATGGCAAGTTCCTTCATTCAGCATGGGCTATTCTTACCCCCAGCCTCCGAGAAGGCGGTGACACATCACGGAGATAAGAGCCACACATTCAAGGACAGCGTCTTGCCCGAGGCTGAGCAGCGCTCGCCCTACAAGTCCTGACTTTTCAAACGACAAGCCATATGTTTTGAAGCCGTGTAGAAAACCCACAGCTGGATTAGAACTGTCTGACTTCAGCTTTTGCTTGTTCTTCAAGACTGGAGTAAGGTGAACGTGTTGGAAAATCATCTATGGCAATATAGAAAAATAAACAATATGATGGTCTGCAAACTGCAGGGATATAACTTTACCTGAGACTAAAATGTCTCAACTGCTAAAAAAAAAACTGTTACCACAGTACATAAAGAAATACAGCTATGAAAAAATTAAGGCTGCTTGGATCTTCAATGGATTTTATTTAACTTCTATGTGATATTCCAACAAGAAGTAAATGTGCATTATTTTATTTTCTTATGTGAAAAAGTAATTGAATTATTTGTATCTTTCAATGTCTTTCCAATACTGTACAAAAAGTGGTTAAATAAAAAACTTGCCATTTAAAAAAAATGCAATTAATTATCAGATCAATTGATTGCTAACATGGCTGTTGGTTGCAGCCCTAACGTGGGGTTGAACACATTAAACAGGTTTTTAATGATAAACATTTTTTGATAATCATCCGTTATTATCCTTCCTCTTTACATCAGTCTATTAGTTAAACATCCAGTGAAATATATTGAAGTTTATGATTGAAACATAAAATGTGTAAGTTTTGGGGTGTGAATACTTCAGCAAATCGCTGCATTGTGTTGTTTGAGGGCTTTAAAGGTTCAAAATATGACAAATTGTCAGTCGTTCATCACTAACCTGGCGGCAGGTGAAGCTTGAAGAGAAACTTCAGCTTATTTGTGAAAGATGCTCCGTATAAGGTATCTGTGGAAATAAAATCCTTTAAAGGACAAGCAGTAGCGAAGAGAAACGACGCACTGGATGGCCCGAGAAATCCAGCAAACGTACCGAGAGCGTAGCAGAACTCCTTGAAGTTGACGAGGCCGTCCTGGTTCTCGTCGATGAGGCGGAAGACCCAGAGGGAGAGCGTGCTCTTGGAGGTGCAGAAGCCCCAGGGCTCCAGCAGAGAGAAGAGCTCGCTGAACTGCTGGAATCCCAGCTGGTACTGCTCCAGATAGGCCAGGCTGGGGTCATGGTGGAGCAGAGCTGGACTCTTCATCGTCCAGTAGCAGCTGAGGAAATGCTGCCTCTGAAAAGAAGCGTGATCTGATCACTATTTTATGTTGTTGTTTTTTGTTTTAATGGAAAGAGTGTGCTGTGTGATGTTATGGACTCACTTTGAACAAGTTATAAAGCTCGTCAAGCTGCGGGGACGTAAATCGGACATCTTGGGACACAACTCGAATCTGAATATTAATTAATAGTTAATGCCATGGTGAATAGGCCTGTCATGATAAAATTTTACAGGACAAAAAATTATCCTACCAATATTTTGATACCATTTCCAAGTAATATATTGACAATGTCATAATAATGAAAATTTGCCCTTTAAGAGACCAATAAACTTTAATTTGTAAAAAAAGAAATAAAAAAAAAATTTCTTGTGTCACTGAAAGATCTTTTAAATACCTAAAATAAAACAAAACAAACAAAAAAAAACACAAACAAAACTAAAATGGATTTCTGTAAAAACATTTCCCTTAAAAAAAAAATCAATTATCAGAATACAAATTGAGCTCATTTCAATTTATGATGCGATTAATTGCTTTTTGCAACAGGCTTAATAATTAAACGACTAGCAGCTCACTCACCACGTTTTGCTTGGTTGTGTCCTCTAGCGTCTGAATCACATACAGCTTGTTTTTCTTCCGCGAACTCTCAACTTCCTCTGACCGGAAATGTCCGTATTTCTGCCAAAGGAGAAGTTGGACTTATCAAGCAAAAACCAAACATTGCTGATTAAAAGTGAAACGGGGACATTTTTAAAAAATAAAATACTTCATAGGCTTCTCGGATCAGCTCGCTGATATCCACACTGACGTGAGATGCTTTGTCGTTGTTGCCCACTGAAGCCTGCTGCACCGTTGGGGGCAACGGGCTGTCTTTGTTAGTCACGCTATCGAAGAACCTGAAGGAGAACCATGACAAATAGATGGATCACAGTTTAGAGCATTGAAATGCGGTAATCTTCCTTGCTTTTGGATGCATTCGGACCTGTTGAGGATGGTGACGGCTTCCGCGTCGTCGTTGCAGGCGATGAGGGCCTCCATGTTGTAATCCAACACGGCGAGGCCGAGCTGCAGGATGGCTTTAATGCCGTCGTAGAAGAAACAGTCGACCACATTGACGGCGCTCTCGATGGGCAGGACGCTGATGAAGAGCGTGAGGAACCACGACAGGGACACGGACGAGAAGAAACTCAGGTCCGTCATGTGCTCCACCAGCTGCGGGAGGTTTTCTCTGATCAGGTCCTCGAACACCGCCTGGTCCACCAGAGCGCCTGAAACGGAAAAAAATGGTTGCACGTCTTGACTGCGTGCCGATAAGAGTCGACAAATTAAAGTTTCAGAATCCACCGCTGGCAGTTTTACCAATAATTCGTCGGTTGAAATAGTCCGGCAGCATCCTCTCACAGACGGCCACCAGCAGCCAGAACGCCTCCTCTTCCTTGGCGTACAGCAGCAGGACGGAGGTGAGAATGTTCATGGCCTACAGGGGGCGAGGAGCACACTGATTCAGTGCTCTCAGAGAAAATGACCTTTGACCTGTAGCACCAGCAGAATAACATTTGGCAGCAACTCAAGAATCTGATCTCCATTTTCCACTGAATCAGCCGCATGTTCCCTTGACAACAAGATGTTTGTAGTACTATGATTGTGTAACATAGCAGGAGTAGAGACCAGGAACAACAGGTTTGTTAAATTTCTATAATTTAAAAGAGGGGAGTATTATGCAAAAGTCAATTATATCATGTTAGAATGTTATTAAATCATCAAAAACAAACCTGGTGTCAAAATATCATACAAAGTATAAAGACCTAATGGAGAAATAATGTGACGATGTGCTGAAGGCAGAAAGAGCAGAAGCTTCTTAAAGAGACAGATGCCCAATTTCAAGGCATTAAGTTGCAAAGTCAAATTTCTTTAAAGTCACGTTTTAAATATACAGCATTTTTATAACAACTGAATGTAACATATTTACTTGATAAGACAGGACCATGTGTCTGGAAAATACATGATGCTGTCCCTTTCAACACTTAATTTTATACTAAAAAGAGACAAAAACAAAGGTTTATTTCACAGAGATATCCAGATATTTTGCTATCAATTAGTTAAACGTGTTTCAGAAATGCATATTATCTATGAACAATCAGCTTTTCTATTTGTTTGGTTATTTTTGCTTTAATTTGGTATGTAGTCAAAAAAAAAAACTTCCACATGATGTTTTAAATAATACATCTTTTTATCTCATCTCTGAGAGAAAACAGGATCAACTAAAATCTGTATCAGTGGGTCAAACTTAAAGAATAAATAAACAGATTTGAATTCTGATCAATGGACCTGTTGTGTTGTCATCAATCTAAATATACAGAAAGCAACAAAAACCTTTTTTCTCCCTAGCCACTGTATTATAAAAACTTTTATTTTTTTCTAAAGCTGAAGTATATATATATATATTTTTAAACTTCATAAGCTAGCTGTGGGTTTACTATCATTTTTAATTAAAAGAAATACGCCACTGCTTGGTCTCTAAAATCTGGAGACTGAAGTTTGCCCTCCTGGTACCGCATGCATGTTTCTGTCTCATCAACTTCATTCCCATTGCAAATTTAAAGATCAACTTATACGACGAGTACCTGGCAGTATCCGATTTTTGGGTTTCTGTAGGCGTATGCAGTGAGGACTCTGCGCAGAGCTGAGATTCCCGTGTCGCTCTGAAACGCCGGGTGTTCTGGGAGAGAGCGGTGCAGGTCTCTTTCGATCTCGTCTGTGGCCAAAGTGCTGGTGCCCAGAGACTGCTCCACCAGCTCGGTGTAGTAGCCGGGGTGAGTGGCCATGTCGTTTACAGCTCCTGCAAACCCACAGTGAGCCCAAACACAAACACGGCAGTGTTTTCACACGGCTTAGATGTAATCTACTCAAAGTGTTTGCCAGCAGAATACAGGAGTGATATTTGATGTGCAGATATAAACCTGAAAATAGCATCCACAGCTCTCCCCTCAGAGACTCGGGAACGCCTCGGACAATCAAGTCTCGTGTCTTCTTGGTGAAAAACATACTGGTCCCACGTCCGTATTCAGAGAAATGGATGTTCCAAGACTGCTCCTTCATCTTCTCTTTCAGCTGAAAAATAAAGTAAATCGTCTCATTCACATGACTTATTAGTCTGCATTTTTCAAACCTCCAGTCTCAAAAATACTCATCATGGGAATGGATGACTGTGTGTGAGCTTTCAGTGAAGAATTTGACGTGCTCCGTCTTTCCCGGCGTAATACATACAACTTTGATTAATTTTAGACCTAAAAGCTGAATTCACAACTCTGAATTTACTGTGATTTTGTCAAAGTGGGTGAAAATTAGACACACAAGTTCAAATTTAAAATTAGACATACAAGTTCAGATACGCCCACTATTATTTATGTACATGTTCCAAAGCAGGATTTTGCTTTTAGGCTTATTTTCGCTTGGAGATTTTCTCATCCAAGCCAAACAGACATCCAATGAAAAACATTGGACACAAGATGTAAAACATTTAAACTTCTGTCAAAATGACGAACAGGCTTCAAACTCTCCGGTCAAATACAAAAAATATTCCATTAATGCTATACTTCTATTTTTTCTGCTTACCATTTTTGGATCGAGGTTTTCAACGTCTTGAGGGTGGAAAACAGTCATGAGGGCCTCGGTGCTCACAGCCTTGCTGGTGTCTTTCTGTCCCACCATGAGAGTCACATCCTCCGGATTGTCCTCAAAGTGATTGATGAGGGACTGGCATTCGCCTCGTATGGCCTTAGCGGTAAAGACACGCCGTACATCAGTCTGCTGTCAGAAAGCAATACAAACTACAAGATGAAAATAGCCCAAGTAAAACATGCAATCTTTTCACCTCTGATGAAGCAGAGTGCTGTGGGCTGGCACTGATCCCACATCTGCTGCGGATCGTGTTAGCAAGTCGCTGGTAGTCCCGCACCTCCGAGAAACGCAACGCTCTCTTGCCACGCACGCATACCGTCAAAGCCCGGCTGCCGGAATCGGGCTTCTCGACATTAATGACCTGCAAGACGGCAATATGGGCCGACCAGTCAGCCAAGATACGGGATTTAATGCTGGATCACTACTGATTTAGAAATACCACTTTACCTCTCGCATTGGAATGATGATGTGACACTGGCTTCCGTCCTGACTGGCAAAACAAAGGTAGTTCTCGGACAGGCAGACTTTGCCAAGCGTATTAAAATGACTGAATGGCACCCACAGGAAGCTCTCGTGCACTTCTAATAAGTTTTCCTCTTTGGGAAGCCTGAAAAATGCCCGGAATTGCTCACTTTTTGCATGAGCTTCAAGGCCTCTGTGGGAAAACGGGTAACAGAAACCATACCATAAGAGAAACGTCACAATAAAAAAAAAAAATTGCCTATTCTCTCCCCGGTTTTTATTTTCCAGAATAGCTGTAAACAGACCAGTACCTCTTGGTAATCTGAAGTGGGTCGGAGAGAGCTGGCTCTCCCTGGAAAGCCTCTTTATCAAACAGACGCTTGATGGAGTAGTTAGCAAGCTGTTCCATGATGACGAACGTCTCATTTAGATGCAGCAGCATGGAGAAATAATGATCCTCCCCATGAGCCAAAACATGGATGCTCTCAGTCAGGATAACATTCGATGTTTTCTCCAGCCTCCAGATCTCGTCCCAGGAGATGATCAGTTTCACTGCAGAGTCAGCACAACAAACCCATTTAAAAGCAATTATCTTGGAGGCAATGTGTCATCATTTTTACAACTTTACTTTTTCAACTGTGTTCAGGCTTGTGATGCAAGCCATTACTCACACAACTGGAAGATTTACATGTAAAGTAATCTTTTAATTTTTATTAAGCCCACATTTCTGTATTAAAATGTTTTTATTGGTCTGATATCATACTCTAATGTTAAATACGGTTTTTTTAATAAGCTGTAAGCAGAAAATCATCATAACTAGGAAATAAAAAACCCCAGTTTGTTGGGAATTATTTTATTGAAATAAATGAACTTTTCTGACATTCTAATGGTTCAATGCATAAAGAAATTCTCAAGGCCGAGACTGAAAACAATAAGAAAACGCTGCGATTATTTTAAAGTTATGACCAGCATTGTTTCGCTGCTACACAGGGAAACAATTCAGACATTTCAACTTCAGAAATGTCTTAAAATTTCTATGCTTAAAAAGCAACTTAAAATTTTATTATTTGTTTCATGTTTTCCCAAAACAATTACTTATAGCTTTTTTTTTCTTATTTTCTTTAAATAACAAAACTGTTTTAGAACTTTTCTCTGTGACCCACAGTTCAGTATTACCCATTGCCCTTTTCAATTCTACACTGTGAGTCAGCTGTTAAAGCCCTTTCACAATTTTGGAAACAGCTAGCAGCTATTTTCCCTTAAAGCCATAAAAGCTCCAGTTTGTAGCTGATACCAGCTACAGCACTCTTAGTGACATTAAGACAACATTTTCTCCACAAAATGAAGCACACGTAACAGCACATCGCTTACCCTCGGCTCCCAGGAGGTACGAGTAAAAGCACAGAAAATTTGTGCTGAGGTAGAGCCAGCCCTGGCAGGGGACTTTGCCTTTCCAGTAGCTGCATGAGTAATATGTGACCAGCTTTTCCTGGGCGGGCAGCTCGAACCACTTCTCAAACCTCAAAAGGGCTTCTCTGAATTTCTCTGGATCGTCCTCCAGCACCAGAGAGGTCTTCCCTTCTTCAGCAATAAGACCCTGAAAATAAAACAACATTGATGCTTCATAGAAGTATTAATACCAATGAAAGCTATAGACATTACATCCATAAAAATAAAAGTATCCTATTGGGATTGAATGTGAAAGTCCAAAACCCAGCACATAATTAAATAAGAAAAACGGGCAAAATGTTTTGTTTCTAGATGTGCAAAGCTGGTCTACATTTACTGAAAAACAAAATCCAAACTGGTAGTTATAATTGAAGTGAGTACTCCTCTGCACTTAATTATATATGCTCACCACACTTTTCAGGTTTTTATTTCAATACAATAAGAACCTGAAACAGGTAATAAAATACTCATCCTTTCCATCTGTATACCAGCTGTTAGTCATTTACAATAAAGTATATATATATATATATATATATATATATATATATATATATATATATATATATATATATATATATATATATGAAATTTTTGTAGCCATGCATCACTTCCCTTCCATTTCTCAGTGATACACCATAGTGAGTATGTTTATCACATACAATCCCACAAAATTCAAGACAATCTATGACTGCAAAATAAAAAAAAATAAAAAACTTAAGATGAATGTATATTTCATTTAGATATTTGACAATAGCCTTTATTTGGCTGAGTTTTTAGGATTACTTCTCTTACCAAGTGGGGTAAATGGTCATGAAAACATGCAATTCTCTGGTTTTTAACAGCCTCTTACTCTAATCTTCCCCTGTACGAAGCTGGTGATGTCTTCAGTGGAGTCAAACACAGAGAGCGTCCTCATGATGTTCTGCTGCAGCCAATCCCAGTGCTGATCGATTTCTTCTTTGGTGACCCCTGACCCCAGGAACAGTGAAAGAAAGCAAATAAAAACAAAACATTGCCCACTCCACCTGATCACTGTTTCAAATCTGCATAAACTTAGCTGATAAATTAACAGTATTTTTTTTAATAATGATAATTTGTGAATTTGACAATTTCAGTCTTTTGTATAATAATCTGTGGACAAGATCCTAAAAAAAGCTCGATTCAGGTTAAAAAGCCAGGGACATACCGCATGCTATGGACCAGTAGACCTGTGAGTCTGCTGTGTGGTGCAATATGCGGTAAGGAGCAACTTTGGATGTCGAGTCCAGCACAGTGTCCAGAGTTCCCACAAGCAGGCCTGTAAGACATAGCAGATGCAAAACCAGTGTGCCACTCTCAATCTGCTGCCAAGAAAAAGCAGAAAAATATCAGAATAATCCACAACTACCACAAGAATTTAATTTTTTTTAAAAAGTCTCAACTGTATGACCACCTAAACCTGTGTCAACTTGCACAATTACGCAAGATGATTGAGGATGAATAATTTAAAAAGTACAGCACACATCAACTTTAGTAGGTCTGTTATTTTTTTTTTTTTAATACTTGGATCACAGCTATAAAAACACGGCCTGGCAGCAGATATTAATAATGCCCCAGCTCTATATTTAGTCAAATCTGTTACCTTTACACCCGCTCTCTGCCGAGCCCTCCATGAATTATTAACAGTGTTGCGCTGAAAACCGTTTTCTAATGGGCTGCATCAGTATTGGACCGGCCTTCCTGCTGTCGGCTCCCCATATGGGTTCAAAATGAGCTGCCAAGTCGTAAAGCACTTGGCACATCCAAATCAAGTGACACCATTCATGTACTTATTGAGACTGAAAAATATATTTTTCTGGTTTAAAAAAATACAATAAAATCAAAGCGAAAAGGACTTTCGCCTCTTAAGGTATTTTGTTAAGTACATCACCTCTGCTGTCTTCATTTAAACCATATATGGTATTTTTAGATCCAGTCCTGGAAGCCACTTATGTTAGTAATTACCTTCAAGCACTAAGTGTTTAGAAGGTGTATCGAACAATGCCTGTGTCGGCCCTGCAAACGGGATTATCATGATGCTGCCACCACCATGTCTAACTGTAATCACAGTGTTCTTTTGTGTCAAATATACACAAAAGAACCAACTTTTGCATCACAAAAGTTGGTGTGCAGTTCAGACAATGACATGTTCTTCAACAACGTTCTGGGCCTAAGCTTTTCCTTCAGAAGAAAATAACTTGCTTCTTCTCTACTTATCTTTTTTTTTTTAAATGATTAAGTGCTATTTTAACAGGAGTGTGTACGGTTTTGAAATAAACTATATGATAACATCTATGGTGGTGAAGCACAACTTCATATTCACCGTCAGCACAGGACCACAGGCCCTTACAGCTACTCAGTCTGTGTCCATAAAACCAAAACAGGAAGCCTTCTAATTTTATGCAGAAATTAAAAAGAGAAAAAAAATTCAAAATAAAATATTTAAAAATGCCAGAAACCTATGGACTTGGCAGTAAATTAGAATTACTTAATGTGTTACTTTCCCACATAAAGAGAAACCTGTAAAAACAGAACAAAACAGATGCTTTTATGTTCTGTCGGCTTGATTATATGTATTCACTATTGTAAAAAATACAACTTCCAGCATGCAGCTGCAGCTGTTAGCCTTGGCCAACACCAAGGGATATCACACAAACCCTTAAAACACAACTCTGGCTCAATGTTTGTGAAAGGATAGGTATTAAAAAGCTGCTATAAATCCGGCAGGCTGAACGGACTCAGGCCTAAACGTGTCCTAGAGCTGCATGTCAGGTCTGAACCGTCTCGACCCGTTCAGACCCGACTGAACCCAGGAGATCCGTTCACTCTGTGTTTTCAGCAGAACGACAGAACGATCATAGAAACTAAACAAGGTTTAGAAACTAATCCAGGTTTAGTTTCTATGATCCTCAGTTCTCGATCAGACTTCCTAAAAGGCAGAGACGTGCAGAAACTGTTGGCTCCTTTAAACCAGAACTGAAAACATTATTGTTATGAAGATTTCACATACAAGTCGATGTTTATTTCAATTGTTTCATTTTTACTATGCCTCAGAGATTTGTGTTTTAAATCGATATGTTAGTTTGTTTTTATGATACGATTAAATATTTTCCTTTTATTGTATTTTCCAACTGCATTTTTTTTTACTCTAAAGCATTCAAAACTCTGCTGTGTGTATGATGCTGTGTAAATAAACAAGCCTTGTGCTTAATATATTTTGTTACTATAAAAAAATAGAAAAGATTTAGCATGCAGAAACTCCAAATGTTGTTTATAAAGTTAAAACAACAATAATTTGGGTTGATGTTTATGTTTATGTTGCTGTTTGTGGACGATTTATACTGAAAACAACAAAGCTGCTCCAGGTCCGACCTGAGAAAATGATTTCTTTTCCCTGCTGCATATTTTTAGAAAAGCAATGATAAGACCAAATCTAGAGAATGACAACTCGGATGAGCATCAAAAAGTTGCTGATGCATTTGCTGTCCAGGGAGCAGAGCTCGACATTGCTGAGAAGTAACAAATTCAGTTGTTCAGTGTAATGCGTCCATTTTTCAAAATGCTGGCCTGTGGCCAATTCTCAAAAGAGGTTTGTGTAAAATCTGTTCAACTAAAACACTTTATCACCTACAGAACATTCTGTCATAGTTTGTTTTGCCATTTTGTTCTACATTAACAGTTTGTCGATATGAAATTTAAGCTGGGCATCCACATGCCTCTGGTGACGTCACACGAGGCAACAGATGAAGAGTTCTTGTGACTATGTTGAATTTGGCATGTTTGTAATGAAATCAATCCTCCAAAATAGGTATTTTGGACATACGGTTATTATTATTATGAGTACAGAGTTTAACAGGAAAATGTATAAATAAACATTTTTGTCTTTCTGCTTTGAGCTTAAAACAAATCTTGATCTGAGATAATGAATTATCTTTTCAGCAACCGAGAAAGGAACATAAAATAAAGTAAAAATTCTTCTGTTAAATGTCCAGTGTCATCCTATTTTTAATTGTTAGGATTTTGTTGCGTATTTTGTTGCCTCAGAGCGAAGATTTACTACAACAGATTGTCATTTTTTCCAATATTTTCCATTTGTAGTCTGAGGGGTCGGTATATAGAGCATTTAGAAGAAATAACACCACTTAAAAGATAAAGAAATCATTACAAAACACATGAAATAACACATGGGTTCACAGTGGCCTCGTCGGTAGCACTGTCACCTATTAGCAAAAAGGCACTGGGTTTGAATCACGGCCTGTTTGCATGTTCTCCTATGTGTTGGTCCTCCAGCTTCCTCCTACAGTCCAGAAAAACGGCTCATTGGCTAAGTGATTTCTGTAAATTGTCCTCATGTATGAATGCATGCATGATTGTTTGTCCTGCGTGTCTCTGTCTTTCCCTACTCTGGACTCATAACCTGTCCAGGGTGCAAACTGACTCTCATTCAGTGAAACGGTAGATGAGAACAGATGATGAACGAATAGATGGATGAACTAGCAGCCGTAAAGTTCAGTACATTTATTTGAGTGCAAATGTACAGAGTTCAATAATAACATCCATTTATTAAATATAAAAACAGTGAGACTCCTTCAACAGTACAAATCTATTATTGGAGCTTAAGCAGAAATGCCACGCGTCAGAATTGCATATTTTTGCATTTCTTCATCCAGCACAAATGCTTCTGAACCTGTGAGAATCTTCCAAATGGTACCGATTCACAAACATTTTCGCCCATGCCAGTTAATCCGCTCCATTCTTGTGCCTCTTGTGACGTCATCAACCACACACAACACAGAATTCGCCATTTTTCCGAGCAGCACATCTTTTTTTTAAAACAACCTTGCATTTTCTTATCTCCTGCAATGAAAACCCAGTTGACTTTTGATTGTCATTGTACATTTGTTTGTTCATGCTGGGGGTGGAGGGAGAATACACATGGACGGTGGCTTTAATGACAGGAAAGATTTGTTTTTACTTACTCACTTTTAAGCAGAAACAGATCTACAAATAAAAGTGAGGAAATTTATTAAGAAATAAAATAGGTCGTTCCTGTCGATCAATTCTAGTCACAAACACTGAACAGACTATGCGGGTTCCAGCTGTTTGGTGCCGCACATCATGGACACTTGACTCCTACCTGTTGCAAAGACGCTGTTTTCTCGGCATTAACTCGCTCCCGCCCCAGGAACTGCGGGAGCTAGTTAGCTAAGCAGCAACACTGGTTAGTTAGACCGTAACTAACCAGTGTTTAAACGTCATTCGCTACGCAGTGAAAGCAGCTGCTCGAGCCACAGGAGGAGACAAAACCTCAAGTCGCTAACGTTACCTGTCAGCCCGCCGCCTCCTTCGCCGTACCCCCGTCGCCTCTGCAGCACGAAATACTCGTTATCCTTCTCGGTGACCCACAGCTTGAAGGCGTTCTTCAGCAGAACCTCTTCAGGTTTGAGCCACATGTTTCCAACGTGACGGAGTTCTCATGTAAATCCACCTGACATGTCACGGTCTCCCGTAAGAAGCCCCGAACAGAGGAACCAGAGACATTTATTTGTGTCAGAATCCCTCCCTTCCCACGTCGACAAGAAATACAGCCAGGCGCGCAAGGCATCATGGGATTGTAGTTTTTGAAGATAAAATAATCTTTGAAAATGGGAACTAGGTACGGTATGTATATCCAGCGTTGACATAATAACGTTTTTATTATGTGTATGATGATCCACATCCTGAGCAAGGGGTCCTAAACCCACATTTGTTTTTGGGCCCTTATATGCTAATCTAGCTTTATGTTAGATTAGCATAAAGCTAATCTAGCATAAAGATTAGCATAAAGCTAATCTAGCATAAAGATTAGCTAATCTAGCTATAAACTAGATTAGCATATAGCTAGATTAGCTATATGCTAATCTAGCTTATAGCTAGATTAGCATATAGCTAATATGCTGTATGCTATTTTAGAATATAAGGGCCCTAATATGCTAATATAGCTATGTGCCCTATTAGCATATAGGTATGCTAATATAGCTATGTGCTATATTAGCATATAGCTATGCTAATATAGCTATATGCTATATATATATGCTATATTAGTATATGGCTAATATATGCTATATTAGCATATAGCTAATATATGCTACAGCATACAGCTGAGCAATTAGCTCAGCGAGCTAATGCCCGCTGAGCTAACTGCTAAATGATGGCTAACGCTAATATAGCATTAGCTGTGCTAATGCTATAGTAGCCTACCTCCACAAATATCTCCTTTATATAATTAATGTTTGAAAGCTTACTTGTTATGCACATAATCATAATTATAGAAGATGATTTTAAAAAAAGGAGAATAAAAACAGCAACATATTCTACATTAGCTTTAAAAATTTCCAAAAACAAAAATATTACAGCTATCAAGTATTTCAGTTAATAACATTTGTAAACCTGATTTATCGTGTGATGTTGCTCTTGGGGGCCAACAGCAGCATCTGCTTCCTGCTATATATTGGTATGCAAAGAGGTTTGGGTTTTCGCTTTCAATAGGAAAAGGATAAACATTTCCTAAATAATAATAATAACAGTAATAATAATAATAATAAACTGAATTAAATGTTGCTAACATTTACTAAACAGATGTACAAAACAATACCTCCTACCCTGCATGCTAATAAAGCATTTAAATTAATGCTATACACCACTTAACCTTAGTTGCACTCCGTCAGTTTCAATTATGCTAAACAAAACTGAGGTCAAGGAACACAGCAGGACAAATTCTGAAACACTGAGGGCCTTTGTATTTACTGCTGTCTGCAACAAGGAAATACAATGCAAAATTTACCCTATGTTTCAAGTTATAATTTTCTGATTGCATTACAATTTAATATCTTGAAACACTGTCATCACTATGCATATACAGTATACACTCAATTCCCATGGATTTGTTTGTGAAAATTCATTTCTGTTCTTGGAGTCAAACGGTGCCCCCCTGCTGGCTCCACAAATTGCTTTAGCAATGAAACAATTTCCAATCAGGCAATCAAAATGTGCCTTAAGGCATAAGCTAAAACTTAATGTTTAATGGAAAAATACAGTGAATAAAACATATTATTATGGATCACATCAGTAAAAGTGTATTTCTTTTTCAGCTGCAGCTTTGACATATTTTTCAAGGTGTATTTTAAATGTTTCAAAAATTACACTTTTACACCAGAACATTGAAAATAACATGGCTATAAACTGATTGTACATATAATAAGCAGACAAATATACTCACACATCCATAAGTAAATTCTTCTAACAATTTAACAATCCAAAATAACATCTCCCATATTCACAATTAACAGTTAAATTACCAGAGTATCTGTTTTTGTTGACAAAAATTCATATGCATTGAACATTCTGCTCAGAAGACATATTTCAACTCATGAAAAAACAACTTTCTAAAAACAAATTCTCTACTACAAAAACTTCCATTTTTAGAAATATTTAAACTGAACTTTTGCAGCAACTATTATTATTTCTATTATTAAATGTTTTGATAATACTAGTGAAGCATTTGGTCTGGTGGTTCAAAACCACATTTCTCATTGTCATTGCAATGTTTTTGTAGTCCACGTTTAATATTTTGATCATTTATGTGATTCGTTAATTTTATTTTGAAGACTAATGTTAAATGTTGTTTAGATATGCTTCCCGCAACGAGTACTACCTCTACCACTTCGTTTTTATTTGAGCAAGAAACCCTAATTTTAGAAAGAACATTTCTATTTCATAATTTATCAGCGCAGTGATGTCCGATTATATGTTACAACTACCTGCCGTACCAGGGCGAATGGTCGCATGGATGACGTCACTTCGAAGTGACGCCAGTTCTTGCGCAGTTTAGCGCGGATTTTTCAAAAAAATAGCAATCTCTTGTTTACACCGTCCAACTTATTGTAAAGTATTTTAATGCCAATATATTTAAGCAAGTTGGAGGTTTTTTATTCTTACTTCGCTTCGTTTTTTTTAAAGGCATATGATGACGCCATCAAAAAGCACCAAACAGTTTGTAACGTTAGTCAGCGGTTACCAGAGTTCCTGAAGCCGTCATCTAAACGGTGTGAAGTATTTTACGGTACCCCATTTTAGCTGGTGTGAATCATTTTAGCGGTGTCTGACAGGTAAACGAGCCAACATGAGCTATCGCCCGCTGAGCTAACTGCTAAGTGATGGAGAGTAGCTCGTGTTGTTCTTCGACGGCAGCCGATCTTCCTCGGGAGTCTTTCCTCCAGAGGACGCTGGAGCGGTTACCCTCCACCCAAAGCCTGAAGCTCGCGCCCGAGGAGGCGGCTCCTGTCGCCGTTGTTGCCATTCAGAGGTACCTGTCCGAGCCGAGCGAGGGTCAGCAGCTGGACAGCTACAGCTACGACGTGACGATCACAGACGGAGTCTGGCGAGCCAAGTGCTTCCTTCACCCCAGCTTGAACCAGCTGGTGCACAGAAACGCCCTGAGGACTGGGACGGACGTCAGCGTCAGGCAGTGCTCCTTTGTTTACAACGAGAGGAGACTGGGGCACGGCTACATCTGCATTGAGAAGATCGAGAGCAGCGCGGAGGCGTCGTCTCTCCTGCCCCGCATTAAAAGCCCCAGCTCGCTGCCCATGCTGGTAAAACACGGCATGGAGAGGAGCGTGGTGCTGCAGAGTGACGTTCCGCTGCAGGTGAGCCGCAAGCACTACCTGTCTCTGTGGAACAACGACGACCCGGAGGGAGACATGTGGATCTCAGGGTCTGCTTCGCCCGACCCAGTCCTGGACGGTGAGACCCTGCTGTCCTCTGCGTCCTGCTCTGGTGCTTTTGCACCTTTTCTGTCACTTAAACTCAGTGTCGGGTAGTAATTAGTTACATTTACTCAAGTACACTTAAAGCCTGGTGGGCCGCCAGACTTTACTTGTGCCCCCACCAGGCTAAGCATTGCTTATTTATTTAAGTCTTTTTTCAAATGTTTGCATTTTTAAGATTTTATAATTGGTGTTCATGTATTCCTCTTTCAGTCTTTCAATAACACATAATTGTCAAATGATATTTTCAAATTTCTTGTCAACTTCTACATTTTTTTAAACTCAAAAACACGATGGGCCTCTGGATGAATGACTGTCCTGGCACCAAACACCAGGCTTAGCAAGTTTTCTGGGAGAAACCTTGTTTACTTGAGTAAAGTTTTTGAATATTATCAAATTATCAATCATGCATTGATTGATAATTTGATCACTTACTCCATACTCGAGTAGACTCTATGGCTATTTTTTACTTTTACTTGGCTAAATATATGTACAATTTTTGGGTACTCTGTCCACCTCTGCTCAAATTGCAATAGCTCTTAAAAATTCAGAGCTAATTATATAGGTACATATTTTTTTAAAAAGGCTTGAGTTTTAAAGAAATGCAAACTTTGTGTTTTTATAATTTTTCTTAAGTGTAGCATTACACATAATAAAATGTAATGATTCTTCTTTTTCAGTCATATTTCATTAATCTATCGTTATTTTCATTGTGCACCAGGAGAATTGGGGAGTTTTAAGGGCTCTTCACCATATTAGAGCGAAACATTATATAGAAGGTTAAAAATAAAACATGAAATAAGGTCAATAATGCAAAATGTATATTGATAACAAAAGGAGAAGGAGTGAAACCCTGATAATATGTAATATATTTATTTCAGTGTCAAAGGTCACCCTCCTTAGTTCTCTGGAGTCGTCCTTTAGAGTTTCATGGAAACCTCTCCCTCTCCTGGTGAAGATAATCCACAAATCCAGGTTAAGGTATTATGGGAAATTTGGGCTCAAGATTGATTACCCCTACCAGGTGAGCTTCACTTACAGGTTACCCCATAATCTGCTTTTCTAATCTGTATTTGACTGATATTTTACTGCGACACCGGGTAAAATATGCACTTTGTGGTACTTCAGACTTACTTCGAAGTCGCCGACCAGAGCGGCACAATGTCGCTCGTGCTTTGGAACGAGCTCTGTCCAGAGTACTACCGCAGGATGAACGTCGGCGCGGTGTTGTACCTGCAAAACTACACCTTGAAGCAGAGCTACTCAAACCGATCCCGCCCACAAATGGACCACCATCGAATGAAAAACTTCACCTCTGTAGGTATGAACTTAGGAGTGTAACATTTAGCTAAATACTGCGGTAATGTTGAGTTGAGGAAGATAATTCAATTGCAAAAGCTGAGCTATAGAAATCTTAATAATTCTGTCTACTTGCCATGTGATTTATTTGTTTGATTGATAACTTTGTTTCTTTTCTGTAAATGTTTTTTCTTGTAGAACTCTGCCTGAACCCCCGTAACCCAGCTGCAGTCATCACTGTGGTCTCACCCAAGAGCGTCCTCCCTCAGTGGGGGCTGCCAGAGGTGTCCTACCAGTTCACCACCAGGTGATCAACGCTAGCCGCAGCTTTAATAAAAATGTATTTACGCGTCACGTGTGTATGTTTCCATGCGATACTCCAACAGTTTGGGCTCAAAAGCTGTGCTCTTTGGTTTCTCGATTGCTCCAGGTCAGAGCTGGAGAAGATGTCGAACGGTTCTGCTTGTGACGTCATCGGTTTGGTGACGTTTGTTGGCCGCGTTGAAAGAGTTAGGAGTAAAGGGAATAAAGGTAAAATGTTTTTTTTTTTTTTATTTACTGACTGGGTGAAAGCCTCTGTAATTTTACTTTGACTGTCATGTAGTGATTGCCGCGCTTCAACTTTTAGCTCCAGAAAAATACTGGACGTATCGCTGGGTTCATTCGGTGGATGGAACATCTGACCGGCCTTTTATTCTGGAACTTTTTTCCTCGTCACAACCTGAAATCTTCAATCAAATCTGTCCAAGTAAATCATAACCTCATACTTTTCCTTTTATAAGTATTAAAGATGTTACACGTTGTGTCATATTACACCCCAAAAGTCAGTAGCAGATAAATGTGAACCTGTGACCATGCAGTGAAAATTGTAAGACAGCTTAAAGTTGTAGTAGGTAACTTTTATAAAAATATATATATATTTATATATATGCTTATTTTCATATTCAGTAAAACTGCCACCATGTTGTGACACTGAGACAAATAATCTAAAACAAGAAAAAAAACAAGATACTACACTTCCTTCCTGTGGTTTTGCTGCCATCTGCAGAAATTCACTGCTCTCCGTCAGAAACAACCAATCATTACCATCTTGGTGCTGTCAATCATCCTTGTGCCCGCCCTGCTCAATGCAGAGAAACAACTTACCGCTCCAGGAAAACTGTTTATTTGCCAACATCAATGCTAACGAGCCTGGCATTCACATCAGGCTCTGTTGTGGGGAACTAGCCTAACAAAGGGGGTATGATTGACTGATTGGATGTTTCTGACTGAACAATGTATTTCTGGCGGTAGCAGTAGGACCACAGGAAGAAGGCAGAGGAGTCACAACAACACAGTTTTGATAAATATGTAAAAAAAAAAAACTTAAAAAATAAATAAAAGTTACATATTGCAGCTTTGTTTGAACTGGCGATACAAAGTAGTTTTGGGTATAAATGTGGAAATGTATATGTGTTCCCAATAATTATAAACCAATACACTAAACAAGGCTCTGTATTTGGCTGCTGTCTCATCTCTGCTTTGTCCTCCACAGTGACCTACCTTGTTTGCACTCAGATGAGGGTGTGTCAGGTGGAAGGGTCTTTGCCCTACCTCACAAGCAGCTGTGAAACTGAGATCTTCATCACAGGTTGGTTTAATCATGCGACAGTGTGACCGGAGATGGATGATTAAAACATAGGGGGCTGTGGGTCTGCAACAGGTTACCACAAGGGCCAGCCATATGTGAGTGACCCCAGAGTGAAGAGCTTCATCCAGTGGACCAAGACTCTGAAGGACAACGTTGTCCTCCAAAAAACAGCCGTCGGCGGCCATTATTGTTACCCTCCTCCCCCACGGAGATTTTCACAGGCAGCGACGGAAACATCAGGTGATTTTAGTGCTTTATTTATTGATTGTAAAGGCTTTAGCAGTTATGTTATAGATTTGTACTTTATGCCATTCTTTTATTTAAGGCCAAGTTCCTTTGGTCGCTGCCTCAGACCTGAAGAGGGAGCTAGAGAGCCTTCAGTATAGGGAGCATAAAAAATTGGCAATTCAGGGAGAGATTACGGCAATCCGCTACACAAATTACCCAAAGAAGGTAACAGATTTTTATTTTAAAGCGTACTTTCAGTAATTTTAACAAAAGAAACAGTTAAAGACGTTTGCTGCTGTTTTTTTCAGGTTTCAAATGAGGCTTATTCATCAGACACACATAAAGATCCTGCAGACTGTCTGATGTCTCCCTCTTCTGACAGGAGCAAAGATAACACAAGGAAAAGGACAAATCAATTCAGGTTGGATTTGATTCCTAATTGTGTTTATGTCTGTAAGCTGAATAACCGATAATTGTAAATTTGACTTTGTGTTTTATAGTAAAGCCGTACCTTTTTCCTTAAATTGTGCCAGCACCCCCGCTAAAAGGTAATTGAGCTACAACCACAAGCATTTATCTGTTAGTGAAAAGTTACAACCATTCCTAGTTTCTTTGCTCCCAGAAGGCTGAAATACAAAAACGCAAAAGAAAGAGAAGAGCAGGAAGAAGAGGAGTCGGCCTCGGCATCTGAGGAGGTTCAGCACGAGCAGCAGGAATGTCGAGGTGAGCGACACGGTGCTTCAGTTACCGCCGCTGTGTGTGTGTGTGTGTGCCTCGCTGTAATGTGTGTGTCCCACTAGACTCTGCTGCTTCGTCCTGGGAGAGCAGCAGCTGGTCAAAGCAGCGAGAAGAAATCTCCGAGCATTTGCATCACGGCGGCCTGCATCAGGACAGCGTCTCTCGCAGGTTCACCTTCGACGAGAAGAGCGCCCTGCTGCGGTGGAGCAACCTTCAGCCCATGCGCTGGACGCCGCAGGCGGCTGCCGACGCACCGCCACACAGGCCCTGTCCGGGGCATTACCAGCTGACCATACTGGGTAAGAGCAGAGTCACTCAGTCCTGTTCCCGTCATTTCACCTGCTACGAGTCACTCTGAAAATGTTTGTGGTTTTCTTTTGTAGACAAAAATGTTTTCAGTTCTTATAACCAGAACAAAGGCTGCTAACTGACCTTCATGTTTGTATTGTGATGCGTCACGTCATCAGTGAGTCACACCGAGGGAGGGAAAACTACTGTCAGCAGAAAAACATTTTTCTCAGCTAGAGGTCTGTGTGACCTTAAGAAAATGACAGAATACATTAGGGCTGCAACCACCCATTATTTTAGTTGTTTTATTGATTATTCTGATGATTAATCATATGCAAAAAAAAAAAGTCACATGCTGCCGATTTGTCATTTAACCACATTTTTTATACAGTTAGAAATACATTAAAAGATTCAAAATGAACAGTTATATTGCCTAAAATGTAATAAAACATATTTACCAACAAATAAAATTTTAAATGCCAAAGGTATGTATTTCTCTTACAGTCCCGGGTTGATTACTGCTCTGAGTTTGTTTTGTTCTTGCAGCAAATGGCCTTTTTTGAGTCTGTATTCTCTAGTTAACAATTAATCAATTACTAAATTAGTTGACAATTATTTGAATAACCAATTAATCATGATTAGTCATGATTACTCACTAATTCCAGCCCTAGAATTAATGTAACTATGGTTAAGGTGGATCTTTTTTCCTTTTCAGTGTGTGCGTTCTCAACATGGCCCGCTTATTCTGGTTATAATATTTTTCTTTTTTAACGTTTTTCTGTCAGGTATTAACAAGCAGATCGCAGTCGATGCCGCGTTTCTCCCCGTCGTGCGCTCCGACGACCCCCGCGCCGTTGGCCTCTCCCAGGACCCCCACGACAACTCGATGCTGTCCTGCCTCTCTTCAGGTTTCTTCTGCCCCCTCGATAGCACAGGCGGAGACGGAGAATTAACTCCCCATGAGTCGGGTAGCAACAGGAGACATAAATTCCTCCTCTCATTTTCTCCAGCATCGCCAGTCGATCGTTTCGCTTTGATTTTTTTTTTTTTCTAATGTTCGGTTGCCTTCTTGCAGAGGAGATCTTGGCGACCGCCCGGGGGCTGGAGAACACACACGTGGTGTGTGTTTTGGAGTTGTGTCAGCTGGGAGGAGATAAAGTGGAAATCCTCATCGACAAGGTGTACAGAGTGATGGATGTCACACTCGACTAGAAAAAAAAGGACAGCTTCTTATAATCATTCTCAATCATGTACATTTATTTTTGACAAAAAAGACCTTAATGTAAATTGTATTTTCTACGATTAAAATACTGGAATGCAAAGAAAATGTTGTCTTTTATTTCAAGTATTAGTAGATTTTAATGACTTGCTTTCAGAATTTCTTTAGTAAAGCAGTTTGTGCTGCTTTTGGGATCTTTACTTTCTGTTTTTAGAAAGGTCCTCTTTAAGGGATTCGAGGAGTTTTGAGCAATGTTTGTCGAAAAACATCTAAATAAGGGCTTTTAGTTTTAGAAAACACCCTTTGCAAAACGCTATGCCAGTATGCCTTATTGATTCAGAGATCTTACCATAGAGACAGACAAAACCAAAAAAAAGTCTTATTTTTTTCTCTTTAAGATTTGTTTTATCTCTTACAATGTCAGGGCTGATGTATATTACTAAATACACTTTATAACAATATATATAGTGTAAAGTACACTTAATTCTTATTTTTATGGTAAACATTTAGCGAAAATGACAAAAAACAAAGCCATCTCATAATCTGTTATAAAATTACTTTAATTTTAAAATCAGAACATACATATATGTAATCTATATGACATATAAAATAAACAACTATGTAGCCTAAAGTTTTTTTTCCACATTCTATAATACATTATATATATATATATATTTATAATATATTTGTTTCTGCACTGAAACTGCAGAATTGACTAGACGCCAGGGATCTGACTGCCCACGCTCACATGTGAGGCGAGAGTCAATATGATACAAATCATAATCAAAAAGAAAAAAAAGTACAAGTTAAATGTGATCAAACTGACGTACATTTTAAAAAAAGAAATCCCTGTGATGAACACCATTCAAAACGTAATGAAGGGAAGCCAAAGAAAAAAACAAAAAGAGGAGGTGCGGCAATCGTCACCGAGAGCGACTTGACTACGAAATCGGACCGACCGGATTATTTACACCCTTCATCAAGCTCACGAGATCGACTCGCATCCGAAACCGAGTGATTCTGGCTCTGGATGACAAACAGACTTACATTTTATCAACACAGCAAGGCAAACAGAATGACACGGGGAACTTTGTCTACTCTCTGAGTGATGTGTTTGAATAAAAAACAACCAGGTTTCCTGCCAGAAAGGCTGATATTCTGCAAGATCGTCCTTTTACTTCGTCAGATTTACAGGTGCATGTTAAAATTATTAGTTACTTTGAGAAAGAAGGTATTCGGTTATTAAATTTAGAAAGTTTAACTCACTTACATAGAAGCTGATACATTTCAAGCAATTATTTCTGCAACTTTTGTTATTTTGGCTTGTTAATAAAAAACAAAAAATTCGCTGTTGGATCAGTAAAGGTTTTTTTTCCTTCCACTGAACTTTCTCTTCATATCTCCATACTTCCCTCTTCATCGATGATTTTTAGTGGCTCACAAATGTCAGGGACAAGCTGCTGGACATCTGGCAAATCAGCAGAGCATTTCTGTGCAAGAAAATGTATTTTTCTGATAAATCAATTTTTGGTTTTCAATTAACTTTAACCCCAAATCTTTACAATTACCAGAAACAAGTGCCTGAAATGTATTATTTGAGCAATGAGTTTATGCAGCTTTTTGAAACGGATTCTTTTTTTTAATATAATATCAGTGTCACGTAGGACGCATCTCAAACTTTTAAAAAATAAAAACACTGCTAAAGGAATGTTAGGACATTTCCGTTTAAAAAAATACTTCCATTTAAATTACACGGCAACAACTGCTTATTATACACCTCTATGTACATCTGTTTGGAAACATTTCCAACAGTATAAATTAACATTCTTTCTCTCTCTCTTTTTTTTTTTTTTTCAAATCAACATTGCACGTAAAAAAAAAAAAAAAAAGTGTAAAAACGGCACTGAACGTACATGCTGAGTTCGCTACGTCTTGTCGTGCAACGTGTGCAGCTCCGGCGCTGGACGGGAGCCGCTTTCATATTCATCACCTCCCAGTGCTGCTTTCTATAAAGTGTAGCAACAACATGTGCAATTAAAATCCAGAAGAGAGGTGGGGAGGGAGGAGTACGTTATAGGATTAATTTTTTTTTTTTTTAATTGTGAAGTCACACTGTGGTACAGGCAGTTTAAATACAGTATATTCTGCTGATTGTCTTTGTACGGTGATGTAATTGTGATGTTTTGATGGGTTTTATTTTTTCCTCTTCCAGGACAGACTGCAGCAACGCACTCCAATCCTCTTTCTGTTAACTGTCGTCTCTGTGTTATCCACCAAATGGAGACAATCCGAACAATGGCTCCTGCACACGCCTGTCTGTTCCAAGCGGATTGAGACAAAGGGGAGCAGCTGCCACAGCCGATAAGTGGCTCCACAGAAACGTGTCCTTTCACCAAGCTAACGTAAAGAAAGTAGTGTCTTTCAGATGGAAGTAGCTCTATAAATTTTCAATGTAGAATGGTGAAACAAACAGAGGTTTTTGTGGGTTTTTTAGTGTGTATGAAGCCGTTGCAGGCAACAGTCTGAAACTCAGCTCACCTGGTTGGTGTTGGAAAACAAGCCGTCACAAAACAGGTTGACGGTTGGACTCGCGCCCCTGTTGTAAGATGTGCAAGAAGCCCCAAAATAAATTCGTCTTGTGCCTCGCACTAAACATGTAGAAAGAAACGTTTGTTCAGTTTGCTAAAGCAAGACCAGAATCAGCGACGCTTTTATTTTTACATCACATGTCCTGATATTTCAAAGGATTCAAAATGCCCAGCCAGGGCGGGCCCACAGCATCACCGATCCTCCACTATTGTAAACAGTGGGCAAAACTCTTTCTCCAAGCTATGTCGCTTGTTTTATACCTAACCCAGTGGTTACAGTGGATGAAAAGGGAAAAGGGAAATAAAAACTGACTGTATAAATACTCTGCAGATGTCTAGATGTGGTTGAAAGGTAGTTGAAGTTAAAGTGGTTAACCGAGACCAACTAAAATGAAAAGTTGTCCAAAGTTTAAAGAGTAGTCGGATCCGACCCAAACAACATGTGCTTCAGTTTAAGTCCCGGCAGCTTTTTGCAAACTCCACACATCTAGGGTTTGTGTGGCAACTTTTACATGGCATCTAAAGGTAGCCATGCAGACATGGCGATCTCAAGATGCCACTGTTTGTTGAAGAGCTTAACATATTTTTTACCTTTCTTTTACAACGTGAATCAAATTAAAGGCGGGGTTTATTTAATGCTGTTACTGAAATAAAGTTATTTGAAGGCTTTTTACGCATCTGTACCGGGGCGGTGTGCAAGTTTCCATTCGTAAAGCAGCTGATCGGACTGTTGGGAACATGAACTTAGGCTTTTCTTGTGTGCAGGAGGCTGTTCTGAAATGGGGCGAGAACAAAATCTGGTATGTACCTCTGAGCAGACCGGAGCGATTTCTGTCAGAACATCTGCGAATAAGACCAGCTTGTATTTCCAATAGGTAGTTTTTGTTGTGCAATGATTTCAAAAAGGACTCTTTTTGAAACGGACACTTACTGCAAACATAAAGGTCACAAAAATTATTACATATATATACATATGTATGTAATCTATTAATTAGAACATCTGGATGTCTTATGGTTTAATAACAAGTTATGCTCTTACGAAAATATATCTTTTATATTCCAAATGGACCTGAGCTGGATTTTTAAAGCCATAATCAAACGCAACCAATCGAACCACAACATGAACGTCGTCACGTTTAAAGGCACAATTCGTCCTCCCCGCCTCCCAGCTCAGCGACACCCGGTGCTGCGCGGCGACTGCTTCAGTTTGCAGGGATCTGCGGTGGGACGGCTACGGCACCCCTCACTCCTTCAGTCCCGGATTGAGGCTTTAAAAATCTCGATAGACCTCCAGCTTCCAGCTGCAGTGCGTTGTCACGTCGCACCTGCCTTCGATAAAGCGGCTCGTCGCACTTGTTGTTTTGTTGTGTGAAGTTCTGCAGTAGTGACTCTACATGCCTAAATCGTGGTTCAAGGGGTGGAGGGGGGATAACAGGACTGACCTCAGACTCTCCATTTTCACTGGGAATAAAGTGTCACAAGTAGCTTGGCGTCATGCCACAGGAGGGGAGCTGAGCCGGAGATCAGGAACAGAGCAGAACGTTTGAGCTTAAGTAAAAAATAAATAAATATTCTACTTCCGAGGAGATAGGGGTACCAAAGTGCAAACACCTATATGAGAACTTTGCTAGAAGAAAACCTCCACTTGTCGGTCTAAAAGTTTTTTTTTTTTTGTTGTTTGGGTTATTTCCCAAACATCTTAGATGATCCACTCGTTCCAGCCGACACAACGCGGCTTCAAGATTGTCCTCGGATCCGGCGGGCGCCGTCGGGTCAGCGCAGCCTCTACTGGTCGTGTCACTATGACAACTCAGGAGGCTCGACGGCGTGCTGCCACCTGCAGGGCGGCGTCAGAGAGGCAGATCCTTAGCGTTCAGATGAAGTCCTTGGTGCTACCGTGTCAGCATGTTCCTGAAGTCTGAAACACTGCCCGGCTGGTTTTGGGAATGTTGGTACTGCCTTTGCTGCTGCTGCTGTGGTTGCTGCTGCTGCTGCTGCTGTGCAAGTGGCAGTTGCTGTGTTTGTGGCTGCTGCTGAATGTATCCCATGGTGCTTTGCTGTGGGACGTTAGTGGTGTGTAGAAAAGCTGGAGCAGATCCACCGTGTACAAGTCCTGGGGTCATCTGTGGAAACAAAAAAAGTTTGAAAAAGATCTCTGTTCAGTTTGGTGAGTGAAATTTAACCTTAATGGAAACGGAGCGCTAACTAGACACAGAATCTTGCAGAAGTATTACCAAAGGTCGACTTTCTCACAGTTTGTAAAGTTACAACCACAAACCTGATGGAGCTATCAATTGGTATTTTGTTGTTTTAGAAGTAGTGCAAATGAATATGAAACATTGATTTCAAGGTATTTAATACCTTCAGATAAAATCACGCATTTATATCTGTGTTACTTTTATGCCTTATGTTTTTTTGTGTGCAAAACAAATAAATCCACTTCTCCAACTTCCGGTGTCATTTAAAAGCAGCCAATCAGAATTTGTTCTGCTCCGTTGCCAGGGAGACGACGGAACAATATTGCCTCTGCGATTGGCTGCCTGAAATGTCATGGCAAGGGTTTTAAATTTGTTTTATTTTTTATGAAGTGTCTCGAGACAACATTTGTTGTGAATATTTGGTGCTGTGTTGTGATTCAGCAGTCAAAATTCTCGGAGTTGTGTGCCGCCATTTGATCAGCTTATGTCTATATAATCTTTGAGAAAACGAGAGGATGCTGAGAGGTTAGTGTGGCCTTCAGGACCACTGGGAGAAACACCGAAAAAAAAGGATTTTTTACATGGATCTAAAAACAAAACCACAATTTCTTTAATGACACGAGTAATACACAGCATCTGCATATTCAAACATGACCTGTAAAATGTCAGATTTCTTTTCAGTTTCAGAGAAGAAGGCTTTGATCTCTTGGTTGTGATTTGCTGCTGTTGCGCACCTGAAAGAACTGCTGGGGCTGCTGGAGCTGCACGGAGTGCTGCGAGGCCTGAGGCTGGCTGTGGTAGGCTGACTGGGCCTGATGCGTGATGAAGGAGTTGTGTGGGATCATTATGGGGGAGGTGAAAACGGGGGAGGGAACGAGCACTGCGTTGCAGTTGACCTGTTGCATGGTGAAAGAGGTGATCGGCTGCTCCAAGCTGTATCTGTAAGGAGACCAGTCAGGAGCTCAGACGGAATATCACAATAAGCCCAATGAATGAACCAAGTGTTGCAGCATGGCTGCTTACAGAGTTTGGGAGATGCCCATGTTGCACTGAGAGGACTGGGAAGTGACGCTGCTAGTGGGAACCATGGTCTGCATCGGCTGGTTGAGAAGCATTCTGCAGGAGAGACGGTTTGTGATGTAAAAACCACGTCTGCTGCATAAAACAGGAGACAAATTATTCATTTGTTTTTTTCAGGCTTCTCACCGTAATTGTCCGTCGTTGCTGAACTGGTTGTCTGTCTGTCTTTGGTTTGTGTCCTGCTGAGGCCTCGTGTTGGTCTGGGAGAACATCATGGGGTTGCTGTAGAAGGGCGTCGTCAGGCTCGTGTTAGTCTGCATCGGCAAACTCACCGACTGGCTCTGTCTGCTCCGAGGAGCCCGCTGCTGAACCTGCAGCGCAGGGAGGGAGGCGCACGATAAGCTCCCGAGAGGCGCTGACATTTCATAACAATAACTTCTGAACAAATAAAAATAGGTTTGATTTGTTTTTCATTACCATCCAAATGAACTGTCTGGAACAACATAATCAACATCAATCATTTTGAAAATTCAGGTGCCCAGATTGCAGACAAAACTTATAATTCACTGGTCTCAGGCCATTTGCAGCATGTCTTCCTTTCTCTTCACTCTATTTCCTGTCAAATCACTGTTCAACAACGGCCGATAATGGCAAAACAATATTCATAAAAAGTAATTGTTTAACACTTAATTTGCCTAGCAAAAAACACCTAAAAGCACTGCTTTATAAATTTATGAAAAATGATCTAAATAAATTTAAAAACGCAACAAAAACCTGTTGATGTTCATTTTCTGAATGAATCAAGCAAAGTGCTTCTCTGTGTTTATGCTTAAGTTCACATCTGTTTATCCCTCTCTTCATATTCTCCACTCCTTCATTATATGTTGCGCTAAATGCTATTATCTAGCATTTAGCGCAATCATTTGTTTATCACTGCCTCTCTCTCTTTATATAAATGTTTTATAAATTCAGTCAAGCTTCAACATACTAGACTTTAGCATTGAAAATGATTTTATTTCAAATCTGCAGTCTGATTTCAACCTGTGCAGACGGTGAAGTGTTTTCTCTCAAAGAGAGTGGAGATGAACTGTGAGCCCCGCGGGCTGCTGGTTTCGGTTGGCCGGAGAGTTGCCTGATGACACTGGACTGGTTCTGTTGTGCTGGCCTTCCTGGGCCCTGCTGCTGCTGCTGCTGCTGCTGCTGCTGCTGCTGCTGCTGCTGGGTCTGATTGAAGTCATTGTGGATAGGCTGCTGTAACAACATCTAACACACACAAAACAGACTATTAAAACCATTATTTACTGAAAAGAGTTGGTCTATATGCTGTAATTTATTGTAGAAAAAAATGTATACCTCTAAAACCAATTATAATAAGGTCATAAAGTTGCATATGCAGAAATATAGGGGTTTAAGTCATTAAATATATAAATATTTAACAATCACGTATTGCACTTCTGGCTTTTGATACAACAAAAATTTCAATCTGGGTTATGCTATAGCTAGCATTTGCCTCTAGAGGGAGACAAGCTACCTTTACTTTGAGGATTTAGTAAGAAGCTGATTTTCTTTCTTATATGGTGCTATAAATGTTTTTCTTGATTCAAGGCTCTAAGTAGACAAATGTTCATCATTCCTTTCCTCAAAGTCTCTGCTTTTTGTATTGTTGAGAATATGTTTTTCCAGAAAAGCCTATGTCATGACTTGGCGTCTTTCGAGTGGCAGATACCTGTAGATTAGCAAGATGGAGCTTCTCCTTGATGTCGTGCAGCTCCTGCTGCTGCGTCTTGATGTCGGCCTGCAGGATGCGCGTCCTCTCCTCCAGCTGTTCCTTCAGCTGGTTCATTACGCCGAGCTGAGGCTGCTGCAGCTGATAAACAGAGGACTGCTGCTGCTGCTGCTGCTGCTGCTGTTGCTGCTGTTGCTGCTGCGATTGCTGCTGCTGCTGTAGAGAAGAAACACGGGAAAAGATGGGAGAAATTTTCTGTTACACTTGATTTATAACATCTTCATACTGTTTATATTGAACAGACACACACTTAATTTGAAATCGCTGATTAACTTAAGATGTATATTCAGGACAAGCACCATCAGAAATCAGATGAAAACAACACAGACCAGGGAAAACATGCAAGCTGACCATAGAAAGGCCTTCCTGCTTCAGTTTCAGTTCATTTATTTGAAAAAGAAATGCCAAAGAGTCGCTGTAGTCACAAGGAAAAAAACCACGACGGTGGGTGACTGCCCCAGCACCCAACTATTGGGCTTAGCAAGTTTTCTAGGCGAAAACCTTGCAACCAGTCTGTAGTCCAACTTCAAAATGAAGATGTAGTGCTCTTTATTTTTCATAATCTTTTCCTGATGTCCTTTTTCTAATAGCAGTCTTATAACCAGGCCAAGAGTCAGGGTGCATGAGCAGCAGATGAAATAGGCCCAAATAGCAGCGGCAGTCATAACAGCGAGATTCTGCACACAAGCAGAACAGAAGGAGAGCAACAGGCAGGAGAGGAAGTCTAAACACTGACCATGGTGGAGTGCTTGCTGCAGGTTGGAGAAAAGGAGAGGCTCATTTGGGGAACAAGGTCAAAGGAATTTTGTCTTTGAGCCAAATTCTACATTGGGGAAAAACAAAAATAGACACGACTGATTCTATCTCTTCGTGTAGCGAGAATTTTTTAACGTGAATATGTTTGGAATAAGCTGACCTTTGACCCACTGGGCTGGAGTCTGGCAGGTGTCTTCTCCGGTCCAATGGAGGCTGACGGCCATGACGGTGTGCAGGCCTCTGTGTAGGAGTTCGCTGCTGCAAAGAACACGAATCACTTTTAGACACAGACTGAGCATTTACCCGGTTAGAATAGTGTTTCCCTGGATGCCGATAAGTAAAACTAAGGTGAAAACAGCAAAGATGTAAAGCAGTGTAGGTTTAAGACAATATATGATTAGACTGCAAAAATTATTTGTTGCCCAACAGTGAAGAGAGAGAAGTCCTAGTAATAAAAGAAAGGGATCAATAATTGTTATAAATATCTGTGCAGCACATTTATAAAATGTTTTGTTTGCTTAATTTAATGACATTTGGATTGTTTTTCAGTTCAGAAGTTCATTCACCCACCATGGCCATTTCAATTAATACATTTTGGACTTCTAATAAAGACTCATCAAAATTCGATCAAAATTACACAAAGTAAGAATAAAAGTTTGAAGAAATTTGTGTTTGATTATTTATTTGCTATAACAAAGATTCTTGGCAAATCTGACACTGATGAAAAGATTGTGTATTTCCCTTAAAGTGGGGAATACATGCATGTGGGTTTTGCCGATACATCCTGCCAAATCGAACAACTTTATAGACGGCAACAAAAAACACTGGAGTTTCAAACTGTAATCAAATTATTCTGGTCATTATTACCTTTTGGAGGGGTTTAGAAGATATACAATGTTATGGCGACACTTTATTATCTAGATTTCATTATCTGGTTAAAAAACAGCAAACCAAAGAAAAGCTAAATATTCCCTCCTCTTAAAGGGTGAAGATTGTTTTCTTGAAGTTCAGCTAAAAGAAAGGACACAATTCATCTGTGGTTGTATAGCAGCTTCTGATTCAGAGGCCTTTTCATTCTGACATAAATCCGCACACTGTTTTTTATTACAGCCCACTCAAACCGAGGCCGAGCGAGTAAAATATCTGCAACTCATAATTCTGACAGAGGCTGTTTTCTAAATAAGTCCACCACTGTGTGTGTGTGAGTGTGTTTTTCAGGGAAGATTCAAGCCTGGTTTACTTTTTATAAACAGATACCGTTGTGAAAAAGCCCCAGCTCCTGCACTGTCTTCATGAATATGCAGGTGGAAGTGTTTAGTGTGTTATATAGCTGGTGGGATAGCTCCCTGGCAGACAGAAACCATGGGGTTTGGAAACATTTCATCAGAGATGCATCATCACCCACACATAGAAGGAGGTGTGATGACGCCATGTCTGCTTCGTTCCAGGAGATTTACCGTTGATTACAAAGTCTCCTAAGATTCCATAACAAAACATCCACTGGGGGATTTTCATAAAAACTAAAAAAATAAAATAAAAAAAAGAAAGAAACGACCTGTGATTTCTATGATGAGAAAATAAAGACAACTTCTATAAAGCTTTGCTCAAAGTGACAAGCAGAAGTTTTCAGGCTAAGTTTGAGCAGCAGCAACACAAGAATCAGTGTTTTTTTTTTTGTTTGTTTTGACATGGAAATCTGCCTCAAAGTGACTTGGCAGTTTAAGAGAATTGGATGACTCACACAAAGAGTCCGACAGGGCGGTGTGGGAGGATTTCCGAGAGCTATGGGAGGACACTGAACGTGCGCCGCTGTTTCTGTCCCTCGTCGCGTCCAGGGTGGAGCAGATGTCCAAGTACAACTCCTGAGCCTGGGAAACAGAAAAACAAAAAACAGTATTTATGCCTTTGAACCTTTTTTACATCATGTCATGGTATATGTCCAAACTTTATTGGATTTTACATTATAAAATCAAGCACATCATCATTTTAAAGCGACACAGAATCATGACTTTGTGTGGTGTATTGTGCATTTGCATTCGGCTTTCCTGAGTCAACGTAACGCTTAATATGACCAGCTTTAGCTACAAGTAGAGCTGTAAGTCTTTTGAGTTTTATCTGAACGGTTTGACCTTTCACCTTTGCAAAATAGTTAGTGAACAGCGACTTCCAAGATTCACTGTTTGAGTAAGAGCTACATTTTGTCTCATATTTTGATCTAACATGATCTAAACTGTATGTATTTTTATAAATTTTATATTTATATTTGTATTTACTAATATTTAAAACCTTGGATGGAGTAGCTTGTCAACATAGAAGCAATTTCCTCTCAGGGATCAATAAAATATATTTCACCCTATTCTGGGCTCAGTGCTGCAGGGAAGTGAACCTCGGCACCAGTTTCATTCATTTTCCATCAAATCTGACCTAATCCCGACTTTGCTGACAAGAAAGAAAAATCCCAACAGCATGATGCTGCCTCCACCATGTTTCACAGTGGGGATTTGAATTCAAAAGAGGATGACACCACTCCCTCTTAGCAGAGACGCAGGCAAAAGCAAAGTTCACACAACTTTCGTGAGAAACAAAGCCATGCAAAGCGGAAACTGGGAGATGGAAATCAGCTGCTCCAAGGCATTGGCAAGCACAATTAGCATTTTAACAACACTCTCTGCATAGTTTGACCCGGTAAATGTTACTTTTAGAACCTTTTTTGAAATGTGTGTCATATTTTGCAACAAACCTTTAGGTTTGTTTAGGTAAAACAAATGTGGTTTCAGATTCTACCAGACTGCTCTTCCTGTTTGGCGAGCCAAAACGAGGACGCGCACGACTGGGCAAATGACAGGAAATGCCCATCCTCGACAGGGAGTGTGTCAGCATGTGGTGAGACGCCTTTTATGTAGACTGACACGGCAGCCATAAATTAGGCCCAACAGTTGACCTATTCTCCCACCTGAGCAGACGGCATCGGTAGCTCCTTCATTTCCACAGATTTCTCAGCTACTTCTCTGATTAACGCTCTCCTTGTATTGACTGCCGGCTGCTTGGTGGACAGCCATGGAGGCCATATGATGGAGTAAAATCTGCTTTAATTCTCTGTCAAATCTGAACACAACTTTCACCGTCCAGTTTACAGTTACAATAAAATACACTGAAATTTGTCAAAATGTGAGAAATTTTGATAGTTATGAGTAAATGTTAGGGATTCTTAAGAACTATTCTTGTAATCAATTAATCTGTGGATTATTCTGACAATTAACCGATTACCTGGATAAACAAAATTGCACAGTCTATAGATTTTTCATTAAAAGATGCATATAAATAAATAATTTAACTCCCTTTTTCATTAAGAAAATAAACATTTTATTGCCTGAAATGCATTAACATAATATTCCTTCGGGAAATGTGAACTGGGTGAATCCAAAAGTAAGCAACCTGAGAAATTTGTGCCAAAACGTATTCATAAACAAAGGTGTTCTTATCTTACATGCATAATTTTTTGTACAGTTTATGTATGTTGTTCATATTAATACTCTCAAGATGTTTTTTCTTTTTCAATAAATGGCCTTTTTTGAGTCTGAATACCCCAGTTAATGATTAATCTGTTATTAACTTAGTTGATAATTATTTCAATAATCAATTAATCTTGATTAATCCAATTAATTGTTCCAAACCTAGAGACATTTCCGAGGCACTGCTTATGCAGAACCCTTACCTTCACAGAGGATGGCGCTATCTCAGGTGGTGAAAGCTCCTCCAGACCAAAAGCTCTCCTCCGTTCAGCTCGCACTTCCGCGTAACTAAACGAGACACATTTGTGTGACAAGTTTCATTCCCACTCCGATCTATGGATTCTTTACCAATAGATAAATCGTACATGATGCTAGACAAAAGAAAACCCTAAGGATTACCTGACAACGGTGTGAGTGCAGACAATGAACTCGGGTTTGGAGTTCCACTGGTGGTAAGTAATGTAGTAATGAGTCTGCAGCCAAATCCACTGCTGTCCTTTGGTCAGGAAGCGATAATAGCAGGATTTACCCTTTCCAAACTGCATTACTATGGAGATAAAGGGAAAATAAAAGCTGCTGTCAATGCTGCGCTCACAAGTTCCTGGCTTTATTTTTATTAGTCAACCCCTAAGAGATGCACATTTCATCGCTAGATGCTGAAGTAATGGAGATTTGTAATAAAGAGGCAACGCTGGATTTCTTACATTGCTTGTGACACTGGGCTATGAGCTCCAAGTCATCCACATGGTAGTAATCATACCCCGAAGTCCCAAGAACCTCAAATGGTAAGTAGCCTATGATTGGTGATGCTCTGAAACATAAAGGTAATGATAAACATGTGAGATTACCTTAATCTGGGGGTAAAATAATCTTGAATAAATATGACGATTCCAGTTTCTCACCTGTGATCTAAAAACAGGAACTTCCATTCAAGGCTGTGTCTGGACGTGAATTCATCACAAGGATCGTCCACGTTACACAAATCCTGAACAAGAGTACAGTAGCAGTCAGACATTTTTCCTTAAAGTATTTTTTTTTTTGCTTGTCACTGGATCCTTCTGTCCAGAGGTTTCCAGATACTGAATGAAGGTTATCACCAAAAAGGACAGTGTGAGCTACTCTAGCATTCACGCATTTGGCAGCTCTGCCTCACAGTTTTGTTCTCACTAAATCACTGCATGACAGTATCTGTGCGTCACTATCAAACGCATTGAACGTTCTGACTAATCCCAAACAGACGTGGCCTTGAACTTTCATTTTTATTCTGCACAAAGAAGTTAGCTGAGTTTTAAAATAGGAAATTTAAAGCTAAAAGGCTTCCCACAGGTCAAAAACATTTATAGGTGAAAGCATGAAGCCACCTGGTCAAGTAGTGACAAACTGTATTTTAATTTTTAAAAAAAAGAGAAAAAAATAATAACTCTTTGGTTCAGTGGAAATATCCAGTGATTTAATGATGATCCTACCTGAGGGAGAGCTACAGAGCTATCAAATAAGCAGCAGCAACAAAGAAATCTTTTTTTCCCACTACGACTAACAGTGTAAAATCTAAATTTATTTAAAAATTAGATTTTTATTCATCCACAAACATATCAATTTATATTTAATATTTAATTTATTTGTTGAATTCTGTGATTTTATGAGTATTTTCTGCAACAAGGAAATCACATAAGCATTAGCATGTTCTAATTCTTCACAATTTACTGTCATTTAACACAATCTAATACAGTTAAATAGATCTAACTGTTTTAAACGTGAATATAGTGAAGTAAGGAGGCTTGAATGAATTCAGTCGTCACTTGAAACAAAAATAATGGGTGAGTTTTAAGGCCGTAAAGTCATACTTTGGAAAACTTCTGATTTTGCGTCAAGCTTTGGCTTACGACTTCAGGGTTTAACAGCTGAAGCATCCTTGGATGATGTTATTCAATGGGACCAATGTGTCATATTCAACCCTACCAGAACAACAAATGTGCAGACATAATAGCGTCACTAAGGACCAAAGTGTGCCCTGTCCTTGGCCCTGCCTCATTATTAACACGCATGCTGCTTGCTATTTCATCTATCTGTTTTAGCAACAGACAGATGAAACACAATCAGTGTTTCAGGCTTCAAAACGCTCTTACCTTCAGAAACTGTGGAGTGACTAATCGTACAGTTGCTATGAGGCAGACCTGCTCCTCCAGCGACGACTGCAGACTTCTCGGTAACGTCAGTTCATGCCCGTTACAAGAAGATGTAGGCACTGTGTGGCAAGGAGTGTGTCATTTTATTTTCAAAATGTGTTCAAATGAGGTGGATTACTTGAATTAAATTTTCTTACCATGGTTATGAAACTTAAAATCTCCAACAAACTTGACATATTCATACACAGGAGGCTCCTTGGGGTCCATGTTACCCCTGGCTAGATGACAGCAAAATTCAATATGTGTCTCACCTGCAAAAATTTAGACATTTTCCACATTAGAATGTACACAAATTTACATAAAATCATCCCTTACACTTTTTAAACTCTGCAGACCACACTTTTCAATTTTCACTTATTAAAATAAAAGCTTTCACTTCATAATTTTCCTCTACTTTGTGTTGGGCATCCATGTAACACCCTAGTACATCACTTTGATGTGTAGGTGATTCCCAACAGTACTAGTTGAGGTTCTGTAACGAATTCTGCAGCTGCACTGATCCAACTCAACTATAAGTGGATAAAAATCAGGCTTTCCTGCTGTTACAAAGCCAGACTCTTGTTTATACAGATGGCTCTTCAGCAGAGTTGGCGATTGCTCCAAACAAAGCTTTGAGGCGGCCATTAAGGCCTTTACTGTCAGCCCGAGACGCTGACGATTCCCCCTCTCTCTTTGTCGAAAAAGCCCATCAGAAACACAGGATTAAGGTCAGCGTCTTTGGCCTTCCATGCCACACTGCTTTGGATTACTCTGTTAACATAACAGTGATTTAAAGTCTTAACTATGATACTAAGCTGGCTCCTATTATTAGCTAAAAGTCTAATCATAGATGCACGCTCATTAGAATTCCAATAAAACACAGACTCCAAGGCCGTCATTTCTTCGATGTATGAAGAACTGAATAAAAACTGCTGCTGATGTGAGAAAACCTTTTGGATATCAACAACCAGGTGTCAAGTTTGTGGTTTACACAATGTCCCAAATAGGTGAGAATAAAATAAAGAGCAACGAGATCAGCAATGAGTGGAGTGCTTCTTTCTCGTGTTGCATTTTCTGCTTCCTGTAAATAAAAGGCCATCTACGGGTTTAACCTTTGTACTTCCGCCATGCTCCAGCATGGTGACCCAGACACAGCGAGGCCTCTCAGCAGGATACTCACTGTCAAGGAAATCAGCAGCAACGGGGTCAGTCATCATCATGTGGGATGATAGCAGCTTATACACCTCGCCGTGTTCGTGCTCCGGGAGGAAATTCAAGATATTTTGGTCCACCATATCTGACTGGTGGAAAAAGAGACAAACGTTTGTCAGTCATTATATGCTGGCAAGACCTCCTCTCATGTGTGTGTGGCTGTCACAATAGCAAATCTATTTAGACATTAAATTGTCCCAGCAGTCATTGCAATAAACGATAATGTTGCTTTGAGACCATTTTTGACTAATGTCATAGTGATGGCAAAAGAATTGTAGTGAATATTTAACACTGGAACTGGAAGATATTTTAAATATCCAAGATGAATAAACAAAACAACAAAAATGTCCTTCAAAAACAGGGACAGTTGAAACCAAAACACCAGACAAAAGACTTTATTATCCAGTTTTTGGTAGAAAGAGAGGAAAAAGAGAAAAACAACAAATCATGCTAATGCAAATCATTGAGTTTTATTTAAAAGAGATCATGCAATCAATTGATTTATTGATTGTTGTGACAGGCCTATTTGTATGCTAAACTTTCTACATAAATATGTTGAGGAAATGTGATTAGCATAATGCTAATCTTCATTCAACAAAGAAAAACCTGTATTTGTTTAATTATATCCTATTAGTAAGAACAAAAATGTATTAAAAGATCATAAACTTTTACTTTTTTTCAAAAATATTAATTCAAAACAAGATCAAAGATAAATAACAGTTACTGAAGGTTAGCAATTTTCTTTTTCCAATTAAGTAGCCATTGATACTGTGGCAAAATTAGGTGAAAAGATGATGAATGGTTAATTTACCAACTGCTCCAACTTACCGGTAAATGGCCAATAAGTGACGACACACTGTCAGACACATATATGATGTTGCCGTCTGTCGTTAATGCAACAAGGAAGCCATCCAGGGCCTGAAAGAGGTGAATGTGTTACCTTTATCAGATAGACACTAATGCAAAGTCTCACATTCCTACAACATGTTGCCAATCATTCATTTGTCATTATAAAGGTAATTTGCAATCAATATTTTACATCAGGCAGAATTCAGACTAAATCATCTGCTTCAAGGACACATCCTGCTCAGCTTTACCTCCAACATGAGCTGAGTGAACTCTTCATTACTCAGGAATGAGGGCTTCCAGTCCTGCTTCACGTCACAAATCTCATTCTGCGCAGTGATGTCTGAAAGGGAAACTCAAGGTCAGCGATCGAGATTAAGTGGCTGGAACAATCTACAGATGTTCGAATGAGCAACACGAGATGTGCGGAGACCTTTCTGTTTCTGTAAAAAGTCAATCGTCCTCTGCAATATGGTGGATTTGTCCATCTTGCGCGGATGGCCTTGACCCTGGAGCATGGTGCACAGCTCCTTGATGAGCACATTGAACTGGTCTCTTCTTTTCTTTTCGGATTTGTTGCGAGATGCTCTGCAGAGCAAAGCACACATTTTTGTAAAAATTTGGCAGCACAAATGCAAGGTAGCAGAAGTGGAAAACCACCAAATTTCTATTTAGTTGAAACAGGTTGCTGATGCTCTAGTTCATTACTTTTATGTAAATAGAACAAATATTTCACAGAACGTATGATGTGACATTTAATTTGAGTTTATTCAAGTTTTATTTATAATTTAATATAATACAATATGTAATTAGGGCTGGCAAGCAATTAATTTTTTGATCTGATTAATGACAGGGTTGTTGGGAATTAATCATGGTTAATTAATTGTTAAAAAAAATGAACCCAGTTAATGAGTTCTCAGTATTTTTGTTAGGGATGTCAATTGACTAAAATATAATGTAACATGTAGAACATCGGATTATTTCTCAGGCCTTTGATGCTTTTGTATTAAAAAAAGAAAAAATTACATCGTAAAAAGAATATAAAGTAATATAAATACATTTACTTAACCAGAATAAATCTAAAATACACTATTCTGTATAAATAACTGTGCATGTTTATCTTTCAGTCAGTTAGTTTTAATTTTAACAACTTCTGGTAGCTTCAGCTTTGTAGTTTTCTTTTGTAGGTAATGTTTAACTTCTCTTCCCTACATGCTTGTGCAGCTGTGTTGATAATTTGCTTCAAAGGGTTTTGATTATCCCGGTCAGCACGCCATTTGGCTTTTTCAGGTGTCTGAAAGAATGTTTAACTTTTCGTTATCAGAAAAGTCCTTGCTTAAGTAACTGAAGTGTAAAATAGTCCATAATACAAGTTGTTTACCACCTCCAAACACATAGTAACTGAAAACAAAAACTTATGTTGCATGTGAGCCGTTAAATCAAAGACCATGTCTGTAAAAATGGCAAACATGATATGTTCATATACACAAACAAACAGGTAAAACATGAAGACAGGATAAAGTACCTTTTTGCCCTGTCTTTCTCATCTTCATCCATTAAGTCCTCCACACAGCTGTTGGTGCTGAAAGCACAAGGACAGGCCAATTTTATTGTTTGAGAATAAAAAATAATACTTCTTAACATGCTGCAACAAGAAATAAAGTCATTGCCAGAACCCAACAGTGACTCAGCTCTTTTCACTTTCCAGGAAATGTGTGACAGAGTGCAAGCTGGCCACGAAGCAGAAGCATAACATTTACCTAGATATTATTTACAGTCTTTCAAAGTGACGTGTGCAGATATGCATATGTTATTTTCTATGTGTCGCAGACTGTCGTGATAATTCATTTCTGTCTTAAGAAAGAGCTCTTTCAGACAAACCAGCGTCGGACAGAAATGATGAAATGTCCACAGTGTCTGCCATAACTCTGTTAGCATAACCTGGTAACCCAGTTCAAGCTCCTGGGAATCGTCACCTTTAATCAGGTCACTGTGGGAGATTACAAAAAAACTGATCGGTGTTTAAGCAAACCTCTGCATGTTTCCTGTCACTGTTTCTACAAAACAAATGCAAGCATCCATATCCTTCTCTTTCCAAGAGGAACAAATATGGGCACAAAATTTAAAATCCATAATGTACACATGGGCATTAACCATATTGTTTAATTGCAGCACAAAATGTGCATTGCAGTTAACCCACCAGTAGAAAGCCACATCAGGAAGTAGTTAAAAAGCCATAAGCAGAATGCACAGAAAGGAGTCATACTGGATTGTGGACCAAGTGTAATTCAAAGCAAAGGCTGGTGGACGCAGAACTGAGACATTACCTCGTCCTCCAGTCTTGGTGTGACATGAGAAACATCCGGATCGCCCATTTCTGATGCACGTTGTTTACATTTAATCCAGAAAGTATTTACAGTGCTTGGCTTTTTCCACATTTTTCTGCACTACAGCCTTATTTCAAAATGTATCCAATCTTTTTCTACGAATGCCCCATATTGACTATGTGGACTTTGTGTTTTTGTTGCAAATTTAGAAAAACTCAGCATTGAACTTCATCAACAACGTATTAACCAAAAGCAAAAAAATAAAATAAAATTAAGCACATTGTCATAACTGCGTATTTGTGATTTGAATTTTGAGCAAAGACCCATAATTTACACGTGTTACACAAAAACATTTCTAACACGTGACGTGCTGTGAACACCTTCCGAATGCACTGTAATAGCATTATGAATGAATAATATCTTTTCTCATATTTAAAGGCTTGTGCACAGACGAGAGAGTGTCGGGTCTTCTCAGGGAAAATCCTGCATGTCCTACACAGATGAATGCATACGACCCCAAAATGCATGAGATCAGAAAGAGGACAAGCCAGTGGACTTTTCTCATCTGAAAGTGATTAAGATAGATTTTTTAGCTACAAACAGTCTGATGTTAAGTACAATGGCGGATCAGTGATGCTGATTTTCTACAAGCGGATACCAGGAGAAACGCCTTTTACAGATAAAAACTCATTGGGGACATATATACAGCAGTATTTAGACTCCTTTTAAGGTGGCTAAATTATTAAAACAACACACTACAATGAGATGGCATGCAGTTGTACCAGTGGAGCATAAATCTATGACAACAGACCAATGTTAGTGTGTTTAATACTCACTCCCATTCCCTAAGCGTGGACGGACACGGGCCGCCGAAGTCTGAAAGGTTGTCCATACTCACTCCCTCTGCCAACCAGGCCCTTTCTGAAGTCTTGGAAGTCCCATCCGTCCTGACCTTGCTCTAACGCTCTATTGGAAAAAACCACTTGCCCAAAACCTTCTTGATTCCCCTGAAGGAATAAGGAATCCTGTAAAATGACAGAAAAAAAATATAATTGTAAATATTAGCATGGTGTAGACTGATTAGCATAGTTATACATAACGAAAACATACAATAAGAACCTGATTTTTATTGTGGTCCCTTACAATGTCAGATTATTTGTAGGCCTCTCTGCCTTAAATAAATAAATCTGACCAGCTAAGCTGAGTGTCTGCACCCTTTATAATCTAAAGAGCAATTTTGTCTTTTGAGAGCCACAAGTGTCACATGGCTGTTACATTACAAGACGACTTATAATTTTAGATACATAGCCGCTGTAGGAAATTTGGAGTCACTTTTAAATAACCCGCATTTTATTTCTATTTCCAGGATTCAAAGAAAAGATAAAAATATAATTTTCCAAGGAAAGGATGGCTCTTTTTATGGGATGAAAAACGACATTAAAAGGCACGTCGAGAAAAACACAATTAACAAGATGTTAGTGCTACTTTTAGTGTCGGGTTTTGTGGAAATAAATACAAATGTTGCAGGAAAACATGGCTAAGACATAGCATTTATTTTATATATATAGTTTTGTCTTCTTTACTCTTTGTAGTTCGTTTTTTCGATTATGTCAGCAGCTGTGTAGCCAGAAAGCAACACTGACCCAGTTCCAGTGGCATCTGAACGGGTCTTTGCCGTAACTCTACCTTCACCCTGATAAACAGGTGACGTGGAAGCCATTTATTCCCAAAACTGTCTCTACACTCTCCAGACTCCAGTTTTGATTAGGAAGTCTGCCTCCTGCCTGTAATTGAACCCGACTATCACCTAGAACCAGGCAGAATGAGTAACATTCACATGGACAGTTTTCTAACTATCTGTCTTATTTATTCTTATTCAAACCAAAAACAGGAAGTAAGCTAGCAGCGCAACAATCTTGCCATAAGGATAAAAAGCATCGATATTTTTAAATAAAGGACGACACCTAGAAAGTGTAAAGTAGTGAGTTTCCACAGCCTGCCTGCAAATGCAAATTTCATACTTGGAGTCAGTACTTTCATTCAATTCAGTTTATTTATACGGTGCCAGTTTGCAACAGAGGTTTCAAGGCTCCTTCCAAAAAAACTCCAGTTCATAAAAGGAAACACAAAGTCAATTTAAAGTCAATGACATTCAGAATTTTTTAAAATTTTCAATCTAAATAAACCCGGCAGACTGCTTCACATCGTTAAACTTGCAGCAATGCTCCATTCTGAGAACGCACTGGAAAAGGAAACTCTCTTTATACTTCGTCTTTTCATGAAAGTGTGAGTAAATATGACACGCCTCACCAGGAAGTTGGCCATCTGTGAATTTTTATATTACTTTTAAACCTTTGCAAATTAAAGTGCATCAGAAACTCACTCACAGTGGTGTTTAAATTAATTATTAAAGCTATTCTTATAAAACACTAGACTGCTGTTTTATATAAGATTTATCCATTATTGCTAGTTCAATTTAATGCCTTCCTGTGGAATCATTAAAAATGCAATGTCAAGTAAATGAAGCATATCCACCTGGGGAAATGTACTTTTGAACTAAATGAGGATTTTTGAACAGGAGGAGCTCTCCTGACCTAGAAATCTGCCAGAGGCAGGCACATCTTTTAATAACTCAGCAGAAATCAGAGTGCGCCAACCTTCTGCACACATTTTGTTTATGGCAGGCTTGAACAAAAAGCAGGATACACCTCTAATATAAACATAAGAACCGATTTAGTGATTGTGGCCCTTGGCAAAACAACCAGCGAAAATCTTTCAACATTTTGATCCTCTTTCTGGTTCACAGACAACACTGAGCTACCAGCTTTGACATACTTGCTTTTAATTTGATTTTCAAACTTAAGCACTTTCTGTGTTATCTTAGACCTTTTCAACACTCCCACAGCAAACACGGAGATAAGGTTATATGTCACCGGTGTTGGAAGACAACTGGAGGCAAAAAATGCAGAGCCATAGCCATTTATTTGTACAACAAAAATATAAGAGTCAATCGACTGTAACCCCAATAGTCTCTGTTACATGGATCTGTCTCACTCAGAATGAGTTTTAAACAAACCAGCAATTTTAAAACTGAAAAAAAAAAAAAAACAGCAGTAGAATACGTTAAATAGTCATTTCAATATCAACATATGCAAAATAACAAAGAAAGCCATTACATTTCAGGCACTATGCATTCCTCCTCTGCATGGCAGTAATGGATCTGCTCTGTTGGATGGATATTTAGATGTAAAGTGACGCAGAATTGAGAGACTGAAAGCCCAGAGAGAGAAAGAGGAATGCTACGATGATGGAAGAAGCAAATGGAAACTTTCTTGAAATGATTGATCCTTGATTAAAACATAAAGGCATATTTGAAATCACACTTTATTAACATTCTTGAGGAGTCATTTTGTGTTATTTCTGAGAAAACTGAAGATGTAGCAATGCTTTACATGGATTAAAATAAGTAGCTTAAAACTGATGCACCAAAGTTCTTACTATTACTTTTATTCATTTTGTCCATTTTGAGATGATGCTATATTTACTTTCTTGTCAATTCAAACTGCAATGGAGAAAAATCTCCATCAAAATAAAAAGTTAACATTCGATGAGCCATTTATTTTGAATTTGAAGGGCATAATATTAGACAGCTAATACAAACAGTGTGAAAGTCTCAGGTGAAATGCTTAAACTGTTTTGCAAAGTCAGTTACAATCAGCAATTACTAATTTCTGAACAAAAATGCCAGAAATTTTGGACATGAGAAGCTACTTTGGTTGCTAGAGAATCTAAACTTCAAAATTAAAACTGTACTTCCCGAGCAGACTTCAGGCTCGCTACCTGAGCAGGTAGCCCAACAAATTACCCAACATACATATGTGTGCTAACCCGCTGCTAATGTATAAACAGCAGAAATGGATGAGATGCTGAACACAATTACTAAGTGCATTATTCTTTAATGTCTGCTTGGTCTGTAAAAAAGAAAAGTTACAGATCTTCTGTTGTAGCTAACACCTATTTAAAATTATTCTCATTATTTTTGACTGAACTTAGTATTGAATTTTTCAAAATGCATGTAATTATTAAATTAAAAACAATAAAAAAGGTACAGTTAATGTGTTCATTCATTTTAAAATGGAGCATTTATATTTTTATTTTCTCTTCTGAAAAAATAGGAACATTTTACCCTTGAATTTTACATTTTTATGTTAATACATTTGTATCATTGTCAGTTTGCCAGATTTATGAATACATTATAAATTATAGAGTTGTCAGAAAGTTAAAGCAGAGCTTTTCTTCAACCATTTTATAGCATAAAACAGAATAAAAAACTAAATTTCTTTGCTTTAGAAATGAATTTTTAAAATAGAGAATGTCTCATTTTCTATATTCAAAGTAAATCTGTTAATAGAAACAACTTGACCCAGTTTGTGAATGTATTGTTAAAAGCATGAATTGATGAATTGATGTGACTTTACTCTGCAGAGCTGTGTTTAAAGTGAAACCAAACTATTTTACTGTGTAAGGGTTGAACTCCAACTTACGAGTTAAACAGCAAAAACAATTACAGTCTCCGTAAAACGCATTCCTTCGGGATTTTACAACCTTTGACTACGAACTTGAGCTCACAACACCAGCTGCTTAAGTTCAAGTTCATGATTAAGGCTGAATGTGAACACACTACAAGAGAACAGGAATGGTGGAACTACTTATAGTTCACACATGGGACTCCCAAAATTCAACTCAAAGCAATAAATGCTGGTTTCTTAGAAAAACGAGAACTCCTTCCAGGGAAAAAGCCCAAGTTGTCATGACAGAGCACAGCGGTTCTCCCTAAAGTTAAATATGGAATGTAATACACAACCGTCCACAGCCGCCGTTACACTTAGCACAGATCTGAAACCATGAGATCAGATTTTGGTGTTTGTTGTCAAACACCGTCTTTCCCAACACACGAAAATCTCAACTTTATTGCTGCAACAATATAGGCAGAAAACTGTAAATAGCATAAAATGTCATAATCCAAATTCAAACTATATGAAATTGCGATGGGTTTTCTTGTGTTCTTCAGACTGAACTACATTTTGAAGAAATGTAACATTTCTCTCTGGCTTTGTTTGGTTACGTTTTGTCTTCTCTTAGATCTGCTTCGTTCTAACATTTGCTTCCCTGCTCTGTTCTACACCTGCTTGCTGTCAGTCATTACTCATCCGCTTCCTCTGGGTTTACTGCGAGTCGTTCCAGCTTGACCTGAGTAACTGTGGAGAGTTTTAACTCAGCTTGCCTTTGTTTGTTTCCATCGTCCGCTGTCCAGAAAACTGGAGACTGCTCGAAATATTTGACCCTTGATTTGTTACCAAACTCCGTCTGATTTTGGCCCCTGCTCTCCAAATAAACCTTTTACAATCTTGTGCTGTCCTGTTTTTAGGTCATTCGTCCTTGTCTCAAGATAACAGGAGCCAACACGGTCGGGGTGTAACACCTTATTATCACAATATTTCTCCCAGTTGTTGTTGGTGCGACTTTTTCTGGTAAGGCTACTTCTTACCCCATATATATATATGTTTTAAACTCTTATTTTGAAGTAGAAAAGGAAGTAATACTTGAGGTAACCTATTGTATCAACAGAGTAGAACCACTGACCAACAAAACTCCACTACAAACACCTAAATAATGCTTATTTAGGTAAGGATAAATAATATTTATTTCAACAGTATTTTTCTGGTTTGTTGTTTTGAAGTTGTGTTTAGGCACTATGTCTTCCAGTAACATAAATACCCAGTAATATTTTTACATTTCCTGTCAACTAAACATTTTTAACAACACGATGGGCCACTGTGGTGCCCTGACCGCTGGGCTTAGCAGGTTTTCTGGGGGGAAACCCTGTGTTATTTTACTTTTTTTTTTGTCTGAAGTGGACACCATTAATAGAAATTTAGGAAACTTTCACTGATCAGATTTGAGCTGGATAATTCTACACTCAGAGATGTATTAAAACTCTGTGTCAAGTTTATGATATATACTTTTGAAAACACAAAAAACAGGTGATTTAATACTGTTAGTGATTTTGGGGTAATTCTGGAAAATATTAGAAATAGATAGGCACTATTCAAACCTGGATTCAAATATTGTTGCATTGATTACAGGTTTTATAATACATTGTAGAATTAAAAAGTTAAAAGGTCTCACTTAATTCCCTAAAAAGTCAAATGTGCAGCTCTGTGTAACAGATAGAGTATTTCTAATAGTGTTTTTAAAGCGTGCTCCTGCGTGTGCTGGTCATTTAGTCATTTCTTGCTCATTTCTTCTTTGTCACCATATAAATAAAGCCATATGTCACTTAGGACATTTTGTACCATCCAAGTGACCATCCGTAAATCCCAAGAAGTCATTTTTTTCCAGCATTGTCAACTAGATCTAAAGTAATTTTCAATAATGTTTGATAATATAATAGTTTCATGTGAAGAAATGTGGCTATACGACTCCAAAAAATTATTTTAGTTTGATCAGAGGTATGTCCTATTTTAAAACGGTCAACTGACCCACACTGGAATCAGAACTGGAAAAAGTTTTTGAGAACTATTACACAACTAAATTATGCCAGATTTAAGTGGTTTTGTCACATTAAAGCTGAGAGACACTAAAGTACTGACAGAAATAAACTGATATATTTTATGAGAATAAAACAGAAGGAGAAAGGGATGCGTGGTTATAAAATAGAGGAATAAATAAGCAAAATGGCATCAGTTTGTCGTCTAACATCTTTTAAAAGCAAGCTGCTGAACCACTGCAGTGTTTCACATTACAACATCATAGATCATAGCTGTAATACTAACAGGCAGTAATGGAAACCATTTGTAAACCTAACAATACTCTGTCGTTGGCATAATTAAGCCACAGATGAGAGATGTTGGGAGACGATATTTCCTGTAGCTGCCAAAGCCAAAACAACTGTCTAACATCAACGTTTGGGCTGAATCCAGCAAGTCAAGTCTCGGCCAGCCAATCAGGATCGCAGCTTCAAGGATTTTCTGCCCCATGTAATTAAGTACAGATTTGTTCAACACTTCCCTCACATTAGCATACTGAAAACCAATACATACTGAAAACCAATACATTTCAGCTGTTCTACAACAACTTCACACTAAGCTCGATGTCACAAGTAACAAGGTTTAACTATATGACAGTGTGGGGGAAGAAATGTCAAGATTTTTAACCTCACAGTGGCTGGAAAAGCTTCAGCACAGATGGTGTTTACACTGTAATTCAGCTATGTGCAGTTTATCTTTAGTCTGTGAAGACAGAGGGAAAAAACTACTTTGTTCATTTGTATCAGATTAGATGAGAACAAGGGAGGCTTTTATTCTTAGAATTTATTCCACAATTAACAAATTAAAATGAAGACTTTGCTACATCTCTCAATATTAGAGGAAGAATTTAGTGCCAATTGAAGCTTTGCCTATGAATAAAGCCATTTGTTTGTGTTTTATTAGTATTAGAAGACGTATGCTGTTTATTAATGGACATTCCTGGGTTAATAGATGAGAGTATATTCGATATTTAACAGCAAATTTATCACTGTCAAGTCACTGTTTCCTATTCATCATCACAGAATAGCAATAAGAATCGTAATTCACCAATTCTTCTGTTTGTACATACTAAAATGTAATCTATAGTGAGTTAGATTACATTTTATGAAATGTACTCATAAAGATGAATACATTTGTTGTTAATGTTTTGCAGTGTTTATTGTTTTTAGGTTACACGGCCTAGATGACCCAGCTAGTATGGCAATAAATGATACATACTTCCCTTAAAATAATCCAGCAGCAGTGTGATAGATTGTAAATGGTGGCCCAATCAACTGCTAATAAGTTAATCACTAACAAAGAAATGTAAGGCACCGGTCTCACATAATTTAAAGTATATTCCAAGAGAATTTTACATTATGGAAACAGTAGTTAAAGAAAAGGAAAAAATAAAAACCAGTCCAGATGATAAAAATAAACCATATAAAAATTAAATATCAAGTGTCTTAATAAACGCTAACTAGGCCAGGGCAGGTTGTGTTAAAAATATTTGATAAGTAGTTATAAAATCCCTTTGTGTTTTTTTTGTCTATTTTGCCATGCTATTATGTAAATCTAATCCTGAAAGACAAGGACAAAATGTTCCCATGGGACAGAAAATAATGTTTTCTTCGTGGTGGAATAACACAGTGGCTCATTCACAACATGGTGGTGGCAGCATCATACTGTGGGGATGCTTTCAATCAAAAGAGAAGCTGGTTCAGAGTCGATGCGGAGAGGGATTGAGCTAAATGCCGGGCAATCCCGAAAGAAAACCTGTTAAGACGTGGCGAAAGATATGAAAGTAGGACAGAGGTTCACCTTCACGCAGGGTAATGACCCTAAAAATACAATGGACTGGTTTAGATCAAAGTGTATTCATGTTAGACCGACCCAGTCAAAGTCCAGCTCTAAATCCAGACGACAATTGACCACAAGACTTTTAAACTGCTGTTCACAGAATGTTTCCAACACATCTAAACATATCTTTGATGAATGGGCATGAAATTTCAGTTTCTATTTTTGAAAATTATGTATTCCTATGTGCTACTTTGTGTTTGTAACGAGACAAAATGTGTAAAAAGTCCCACTGGTAAATAGTGGGGGAGTGTAACTGTGGCGACAGACATCGGCTTGAGCTAATCAACACTAAAAACACAAACATTAAAAAAAAACAACAACAAATGATTAAAAACAATTATTGCAAAGCTCTGAAAATCTCTTACTGATTCATCAAACAGTGGGAAAATATCTCACTGTGAACTAACACACAAACAGTGAAATCCTGCAAATAAATCGCACCAAAGCCCCTTGAGAAATTATTAATAAACGCATTAGTTTTCTCCCAATTTGTTGAGCTCCATTGGTGGATGTCAAGCGGGTTACAAGGTGGGAAAAAAAATGGTTATATCAACCTTGAAACCAGGGCACTTGGAGAGCTCGCAACACGTAAGGAACGTTCAGGAGCCCTGAAAATGTCGGAAAAAAACCGAACCTCCTCAACACGCTTTAAAAACCCCGAACGACAGCAGTTTCGCATCCCGGGAAATGATAAACCGGGACTAATCATGCGGTCGCCCACCTCTAATCTGGGAAGAGGCCACTCGTGATAATGTAAACAGTGTAAAGGAACGGCGCGACTGTGGCGGAGGTGGGAGAAACTGGAGGCTTAAAGCGTACATACCTGGAGAAAGAGTGTCCGGTAGAAATAAAGAGCCTCTCTTCACTTTAACCGGCGTCGTCATTTTTGTTCTTTAAACTCCAACATAGCAGCGGCTCATTCACCGAAAGCCTCCAATTGCATAACAAGTTATTATTAACGCGCTGTTATTCCGCACCGGCGTCCCTTCCTGCGAGCGCTGTCTGTCACACTTATCCAAAGAAAGGAGAAAAACACAACAACAACCTTCGGCTTGTTTTAACTTTAGCCCCCTTTCTAGTGCTTTCCGAGCCAGCAGCTGGGTTTTATCCGTCGGTTTCCCCAGGTACAGTAGTCCTCATCCTCGGCTTGGCTGGGGCTTGTAAACAGGACCGGGCGGCTGAGAGGGAGCGCAGAAAGTAGGTCAGCTGGTAGCTCAATACTCGGCTAACGACGGCAGCAGAGGTACATAGCAGAGGCTGTGCAGCGCGACTGAGAGGAGGAACGAAGGACAGAAACCTGCAGTGACAGGCATCAGCAGGGCAGATTGCAATCTTCAACACGTGTTTAATGTATAAGTAACACCAGTCTTAATGCCATTAAAGCGACTGTACGGATGCGCCGTGTGTGTGTGTGTGTGTGCAGTTGGAACCTGAATGGTGCAGTCTTAAGGGGAGCCATGGGTATAAGAGCAATGTTTCATTTAGAGGGAAAAATCTGCATCAATTAAAATTTTACTTTATGTGTTTAATAAAATAAAGAAGCCAAAGCGACTCCTTAAATAGACTTTTGAGGTAGGAAAATAATCTGGAGGCTAAATGTTGCCTCCCTCTTGCAAGACATTATTTCCTGATTTTTTTATGAGGCAATCATTGAGCATATGTGTGTGTGTGTGTGTGTGTGTTTTGGGTGAGGGCAGACTAAATCAAAACCTGAGAAAGAAAGAAAAACAATAAGCTAAAAACTTTTATTGTTTTCCATGCGCACTTCCTGTGTGTGCCTGCGTGTGCGCGCGCGTGTGTGCGTCTGCTTTAACAACTTCCTGGTTGCCTTTTCCCTCTGATGAAGTCCCAAATGTGGGTCAGCAGCCTGCATGACTTATTGGATTTAAATATTTTGCCTCTGTGAAATGATTACACAAGTGAGCAGTCAAAGGTCCAGAGCCTTTCAGAAAGACTAAAAGGCTCACCTTACAGATAATCTGTTTACTTTGAGAAGGAGGAGAAAAAAAACACTTACGTAGACACTCATGTCTGATTGTTATAATAGTTCCAACAGTGGAAGAATATTCTCGTTAATATGAAGTAAATGTGTCTTTTTGGCTAACGTGTTGCTGAAAATTGTATTTAAGAGAAAACAGCTTGTGTAGAATTGCATTGTTGTGCCTCCTTGCAAAAGTATCCAAACCCCTTCAAGATATCAAAATCTGAAAAGTGTGGCTTGTATTTATCTTCAGACCTTTTGAATATTGTCTTAAAAATATTAGTTAGTAATGCTGATTCATTAATAATCTTATAAAGCATCTATATTTAATCAGAAATTAAATGTCACATAAACTGTATTCACCAGTAAAATTAATTTGCACTACAGTTTTATTTTTGTTACTTCTGTCTAAACTCCAGATAAACAGAAGTGGAGTTTGCGGCTGTACTTCAGAGGGTTATCAATACTCTATCAAGGAACTGTATCTATAAATATAATTTTATTCAAATTTTTAGATTTCAACTTATAAAACTGTTTCAGGCTGGCTGTCCAGGCCTTCTGAGAGTTTAGTGAAGAAGCAGGGCCAAAAGTATCCGTGTCATGCTATTTGTGGGGACCTCTAGCTGTGCAGTGTAATTGGGGCTTACCTCGAACTGTCTGCCCAGGAATAATAATAACTGCATTAACCAGCCCTAGTAGTTTATATTCCTTCAAATGTTCTTAATATTCCATATCTGCATAATTTGCATGATATAAGTAAATAACTTCTAATAATCAATTTTCTTCATGTAATCAGTGGAGACATTCTGATATGTATGCTAATGGCAGTGCAATAATGCTAACTATTGTTTTGCAAATTAACTTTTCACTCCAAAACAGATCTCTGCTCAGGTTTTACACAGTTCTTACATCATTGGACATGGGCTCTCACTGAACAGGTGAAATTATTCAATTCAGTTCAAAAATACTTTATTGATCCCAAAGGGAAATTGAGCAAATACTCACAAAAATGTAACACGACTTCTCAGATTTTAGTTGGTAAAAATGTTTCAACGCCTCCTCAATCCCCAGATACACACAGCTTGTCATCGGCCATTTACTAAAACTCCTAATAAATCACATTGATTTACTATAACATCACTATAACATTTGTATTGCATCAGAACACCATCAAACAATATTTGATCCTACTTAAAATATTGTTTTAATGTGAAGAAAATAGTAACATTTAATGGCAACATGCTTTAGTGCAAGGAAGATTAAAGCACAGAAACATACATGGACTATTCATAGGTCAATATTAGTTATTTACATTAGCTGGACCATAAACTAAATTGTTCAATAAAGTGGGACATCTTGGTAAAACACAACAGTATAAAATCCCATTACAACCAACAAGAAGAACAGCACATAAAGCCCAGCAGCTCTCGGTTTGATTTAAAAGCTGCTCCCAGCATTCCTGTAGAGAATAGTCTGGCTTTACTGTAACCATTGCTTAACTACACAGAAAATGTGTTTTTTTTTCCTTCACAGAAATGGACAATAGCAGCCATCCAAATTTAGTGGCTGCTTCGGGCTCTGCCAGGCCTCATTATTTAATGTTTCATGATTAAAGTCTCTCTCCAGATGTTGGAGGATTTCATCACGCACAGCTGAGGCTTCGCTAAATATGCATGCCTTCACTTTCAATAGCCGTATTAATGTAATAAGTCACATTTTCCCTTCAGCTGATTCAGACTGCAGATGTCTTATTAGTCTGATGTTGGGTTGGAACCGTGCTGCGGTGAAAGTATGTTGCTTTTTTTTAATTATACCACTTCCATCTGACGATGATTCTATCTTTGTGGTCTATTGCCTCTTGAATTATTGCTAGTGCTGATTGTGTTTCATATAATTCACTGTAAGTACATCATTCGTGATTTTATTTCTCTTTTTTTCAGTCGAATTTTCTCAAATCTATTTATTGCTCTATTGTTCAGGGTCAAACTTTATTCTTGCTAAATGACAAACAGATAAAGAAAAGATCCAATGGGTTGACCATCAGTCTCAATAAAATGTAAACAAACAGAGGTATAATGAAACCAGTCGCTCTAGTTTCTCACATATCTGACAGACCTGAAAATCTGGCACGATAAACAATGAGGACACCAAAGCCATGGGAAACGCCAAATCGGACTCATATATTTTGTTTGTAGGTAAACAGTAGATTTCAACAGAAAACATAATTGTAAGATATCTAAATCGACTTTGTGCCCTCCCAAAAGAAGATGGTGTTTGCGGCACAAAGAAAAAAAGAGAATCAAAAAGCATCTGTTGAAAGATAGCGATGACTCAGCTTAGACATAAAAAAAAAATCTATTTCTACCAGAGTAAAAGATAAATTTAAATGGTTTTATAAATGCACCACAGTCCTCAGATGTTCTCTTCCAAAGAAGAAGACTTTGTGAGCACAGAAATATTCCAGACTCTGAAACCAAACCTTTTAGTTTAAAGTGTTTTCGGTATTTACTGAAAAGAAAGGAGTGGCCGGAGTAGCTTAGGAGCTACTGAGCAACGTGTTTACATCCATTTAAATCAAGATGGTTTTCATATCAGCACAAAGCCAGTCATCGAGGAACCTTATCCACCGCTATCAACCCTCTAAATGAAGGTCCTGACGTGATAACCACTGTGGATTTTTTTTTTTGTTTCATCCTGAAACAAGCCTTTTCCCCACACCCACTCTCTGTAAGAACATCGCTAGTAGAAAATCTCTAAGAGATCACGTACAACTTCTCAAATTTTTTATTATTTCCAATTACTTAAAAAATAAAAACAAATCCAAAATGTTAATTTACTTTTAAGACGCTCTCAATAGTGTAATTTATCACATATTTTGGAATATCTCAAAATACGTACAAACAAGATAAACAGTAACATTTTCTGTGAAACGTAATCTATTGTCACATCAATGAAGTATGCGTATTATTTCTGATTTCATCTTTATATAATTGTCTGATCTTGTTGGACTGAATGTTTGGTGCTGTGCAAGTAGCATTTGATGCCCTATAGCAGCAAACATATTTCCCCAGAGAAAAGATGTTGATACATTGTCCAAATTGACGCCGCTTTGCATCACGAATAATGATCGGGTCACTGCTTTGACATTTGTATAGCATATTTTCCGCATGTCTGGTATTTTTGAAATCTTATGTTGAATTATTCTGTCTTTGGATGGTTTTATGCTGGAACTTTGTTTACAGAACTTGTTTTGTCTTAGAAGTTGAGAGCACACTACTTCCAAGTTAGAAAACAGTGTTTTTGTGCTTATTTTACAATTGAGAACTTTGAAAATCAGTTTTCTGGCCACAAAGGGAACACATCATTAAACCCAAGATGCCCTTTATGATTAAAATTAGTTATTTAAAATTAAAACAATTTCAATACAATACATCATCAAGGCAGACTAATTGATATTTAAAATATACTTGACAAACATCATCAGTACTGGTTTAATTTACTGCATTGTAAAGAAATGTTTGATATAGTATCAGATTGGGAAACGGTATCGATAGATACTTTGTCAATTACTTGGTTATCAGTATCATTATGTTGAATCCAGTAAAGGCAGAAATTAATATTAAATAATCAGACAAAAGTGGAAGAGAATTTCACTTCACAATGTGTTTCACAACTGATCTTTTCCAAACCTAAATATAAAAAGAGTTTATAAAGAGTTGTGCATCAGAATAACTTTATCATCTGTGTCCAATCCTAAATGCTCAGATATTTCTTAAAATGACTAAATACAGTGGCGGTCACCATCTGAAAGACAAAGTCACTGTTTTTAAAAAGAAATCCCTTAATCCTTTTACACTTTGCAACAACTTTCTGCAGGCGGCGAAACTTTACCGAGCGACATCATGGACGTGAACAGCGCCAGGGTGTTGATATAGATTTATTCCTAATTAAGGTTGGCTGCTGTGCCAGCAACCAAGTGTGAGACATCTAAGATTCATAAAGATCTCCCACATTTCACTGCATTATTCACCGTCCGCCTACATAGAGATTAGTTCTGCTCTTTTATGTAGGTCATGCTATTGGATAATGAGATGACATTTTCTGCTCATAAGTGGGAATCGCCGGATAGTAAATGCTCATTGTTGCCTAGTGCGTGCGTCTTTTACAATCCTTTGTCCAGACTGTTTGCCTTTACCGCAGTGAAAAGGGGGGATTATTTGTTTAATTACTGGGATATTAAGCCACGCTGCCTCCAGCGACATCTGTGGCGCTGGTATTGATGATGTCACGGCGGCCC